CGTGCTTTTCTAGCTGCACGGTGTAAGAGTCTGCACCCCCCCCCACTCCCCCCCTCCCACTACCCGGGACTGCTCCTTTGCTGTCCGACTGACAGATGAGGAAACGGAGGCGGGCGCCGGCGAGGTCGGTTGCCAGAGATCCCCGAGGGAGTGGAAGAGCAGCCAGTGCAGAAAGCCCACAGGGTTGGGGAAAGGTTGGAGTATTGGGAGGGGTACAGGGCAGAGGGCTCTTAAGTGGGGGCAGGCTGCAAGGGGGGTGTGTCTGTCGGGTGGTGAGTGACCTGTGTGACCGTGTGCCCGTGGGAGAGGGCTGCTCAAGGCCACGAGGAGCTGATCATGGGTTCCCGGCCCCTAGGGCTGGAGAGCGGTGGGGCGGAGAGACTGGGGCGGCTCGGTGTGTCGGGCGCTGCTGGCTGGCCAAGGGCTCGCCCCGCCCTGTTTCTCCGTCCCGCCCTCCAGTCCCCTTCCGCCCCTCCCCTCCCTGCTTGGCGAACCCAGCGGTCCCCAGAACAATGGAGTGGAGAGTAGCCCTGGGCCCGCCCCGCAGCCGTGTCAATCTCTCCTCGTGAGCCTCGGCCCCTTCCAGGGACCCCTGGGCGGGGCGTGGACCCGCCCCAGCCCCCAGGGCTGAGGAGCCCAGATCTGCTGGGCTGGGACCTGGGGATGGGATGGGCCGGGATCTCTCCCAGTTCACAGCCTAGGATCCTTGGGATGCGGGGTGACCAGCTCTGCACCTCTAGCGGTCTCCTCACCCCAGCCCTGTGCCCTGCACTGCTGCCCAGTCCGAGCCTCCTGTCCTGAGCTGGGCCAATCGATTCACCCACGCTGGTACTGTGCCCCGTGGGCCGGCAGCTGCCCCGCTGGAGCTCCTTAGAAATGTAGATTTGGCAGAGGGCTGGGGCCTAGCCTTTGGGGCTGCGGTACTTCGCAGGCTCATGGTCCTGGGTTCCGTCCTGCGCACCGCCAAAGAGAAATGAAAAAAAAAAAGCAGACTCAGGGCCCCTCATCCTCCTTCGTTTGTGCAGGAGCTGCAGAGGCTGCCGTTCTCTAAAATGTAAGCCTGCTTAGGACCTCTGAAGCGAGAGTGACAGGGGCCTCCACCTTTCGGCTTGATGTGAAGATTATTCTCGTTAATGCACCCGGCAGCCCGCACAGAGGTGGCAGGAACGCACGGGCCTCTTGCGTTTCCCTCTGTGCTGCCGCTTTTGCACCTCCCCTGCAGACTTCCCTTAGGGTGGCTCTGTGCCCGCCGTGCCCTCGCCTCCTTTAGCAGCGGGCTGCCCTGGACTTGCCTCTCACAAAGCCCTTGGAAGGCTCGACGCTCCTATTCTGCAGAACAGGGTTGCGGGATCTGGCTTTGCCGGAGTGAGGCACCCAACATGAACTGACGTTCTTGTCCCTTTCCTCTGCCATTTTCCTGCCTTCAGGAAGGATCTGAACAACAAGGCGGCAGGCAGCCTTATGGAGCAAACTCTCCCTGGAGTTTAAATGACAGTGGCGCTAGTCCCCTGCTTCGTAGACCAAGCGCTTGGCTACTTGGCTGTGAGGCCTCTCAACATGGATGTGGTTGGTGGGCGCTTAGGCCAGGAGGCCAGGAGAGGCTGCACAGGCTGGTGGTTAGTAGGGTGCTGTATCATCAGGTCCTCAGTCCCCAGATATGCCCCAGACGGGCGGTTTGGGACGGCCAGGCTCCTGGACTACCTGGAGGAGCTACAGGCCTGTGGAAAGTTCCCAGGCTATTTTAGGCTGAGGCCTCCTCCTAGCAGCTCTCAGGATGGGGGCCTGGCTGACACACCCTTTCCTGGGGGCCCGCAGGGTAGGAGTGGCTTCCCGCCCGGCCTGCTCCCAGGCCTGGCCTCCCTGGCTGGGCTGGGCACTCAGCAGTACTGGGGGCTGACTCAGGGTGGGCGCGTGGCCTCCCACATCGGCTTCTAGAGGGTAGATGTATGACTTGGTGGCATAGGAGGCAGCCTGGGGGCCAGCTGTGGAGGCCAGATGTGGTTCCCCTGGCTGAGTCACAGACCTGTGGTTCATGTGTGTAGACAGCCACATGCACATGTATGTGCAGCGACATCCACATGTGCACACCTCTACTGCATGTGTAGATACACAGAGCCCTCCCGTGCACAGGTACGCAGGTCCCAGCAGCTGTGACACGCCTTGAGTGGGACACTGGGTCTGGGTCGTTGCAGGCAGAGCCCCTCCCTGGGTCTGGCCTGGAGCCTCCTGCCAGGCTGAGCTTCACACGCCCCCGGCCCCTCACTGTGGGAGCTGAGGGTGTGAGGGCTGGTCTCAGAAGTGGGCCCTGCGGACTCCAGGCCGTAGGAGGAGCTACTGGCAGTGCTGCTGGCAGCAGGAAGCCAGAGCCATGGGATCCCCCCCACCCCTGTCCTGGTGTGTTGGGCCCAGGCCACGTCCTGGGTGACGGTTACCCACCCCTGACTGCTGGACTCTGATCCCGCCTGCCCTTCTCTCACCTGCGCTCCTCCCTGATGACTGCGTGGGTGGGCTGGCCCTGGGCCAGGCCTGCTCTGGCTGTCCTATCCCGGATGGCCTCCCAGAGCCTGCCTGGATGGTGGAAGTGGGAGCGGCACCCCACCCCACCATGATCCCTGTCACTCCCTGTGCCTTAGTTTCTTTCACTGTCATGAGTGTGAGTCTGACATGGCACATCCAAGCACAGCAGATGTGGCGGGGTTGGGGTGCATACTGGAGAGGGTACATACTGAATGGAGTAGAGCATTGGGTCCTCCCGGTCACCCTGAGACCCTGGCCTGGGCCCTGGGGATGTGGAGGGACTCCATGCTGCCCATGGGCCACTCCCTACCAACGGTCAGGGCGTCTTCCATTGTGTCAGGGGACTGGGTGTGCTTGGGGAGTGAGCAGGTTGGGCACAAAGAGATGGGATCCCCAGTTCAGGCTGTGTTTCGTTTCCTGGGAAGAAGTAGACACCACCAAGGGTGTGTTATGGTTTGTGTCTGGGTGTCCCCCCAAAGCCTCATGGGGTCATGGGGCAGGCTTTTAGAGTTTGATTGATTATGGGTGTGAGAGCTACACCCGCCCTGGGGTGGATAGTTTGCATATGTAAGGGAGAGGAAGAGGCTGCTTGCGGCCCGGCCATTCCTCCCTTTTGTGCTTGTTGCTTTAGCTGTGTTCTGCTGCCATGAGCTGTAGCCCTCTGTCATGTGCCACTCTGCCTTGTAACCTGCCAAGTATGGACTGAAAACTCCACAAACTGTAAGCGAAATAAACCTTTCCTTCCCTAATTTTGGGCGTCAGGTATTTTGTCCCAGCAACGAGAGAAAAGTAACCAAGACAGGGTGTGAACCAAGGGAAATGGGCATGAAAACAGGAAGATACACTGGGGACAGCAGCATACTCCTGTAATTCCAGCCCTGGGGCAGGAGGATCTCCAGCTAGAGGCCAACTTGTGAGGTTCTTTCTCAACTGCCCCCTTAAAAAAAAAAAAAAAAAAAAGGGGAAGACACGCAGGATGATGAGCATGGTGGTGAAGCTGGTGATGCAATGATCCCTGGGTGGCCCGGCCCACCTCTCCACCTCATTTCCTGCCTCTCTTGGTCCATCCCCACCCCCACAGCCTCCGAGCCTTGACACAGGCTGTCTTTCCTTCTAGAAGCAGCCCTCCTTCGATGCTCAGATGGCTGGGTCTTTTCAGTCCTGTACTTGGGACCAACCCCAGGGCCTTGTGCTCACTGGACAGGTGTTTAGCCACTGAGCTGCACCCCAGCCCTTTCTAAATTTGAGTCTTGTGAATTTGCCCAGACTGACTTCAGTTTTGTAGTCCGCTTGCCTCAGCCTCCTGAGTGGCTGAGAGTGCAGGTGTGAGCTACTTTGCCCAGGTTGGAGTGGGTGGTTCTTCCTCCTCTATTCAGTCCCCGCTTGTGCCCTTGTACAGATAGCACCCCAACCCCGTGGCTGGTACACGTTTGCTGTGCATAATGATTACATTCCCTGTGGGCCATTGTACATGTACACCAAACATTTCAGTTCTTTCTTCCTCTTCCCTCTACTCCCCTTTTGTTTTTCCAGCCTCGGATTCATTTATTAATAAGATCTTACAGGGGGCTGGGGATTTAGCTCAGCGGCACAGTGCCTGCCTGGCAAGCGCAAGGTCATGAGTTTGATTCCTGGTACCGGAAAAAAACCAAAACCAAAACCAAAAAAAAAATAAGACCTTACAAAGTTAATTGTCCTGTACAGACTGAAACCAGAGCAGTAGGCCAAAGAACATACAGACAACCTCATTGCTTTGTGTCCCCTCCACATTAACAAGCATTTTGGCGGTTGGTGACAGTGTTGCTGGTGCATCTGTTACCTAGTCTCTGCTTCCAGGATCAGCCTTTTTCTTTTTGAGACAGGGTCTTGCTATGCAGTTCAGGCTGGCCTTGAGCTTACTTTGTAGCCCAGGCTGGTCTTGAACTCTCAATGATCCTCCAGCCTCAGCCTCCCAAGTGCTGGGATTACAGGTGTGCACCACCACACCCGGCTCAGGCTCAGTCTTGTGTCTCCAGTACCATGAGCAGGGCCTGGTGCTGGAGCATGCATTTGTTGCATGACTTAACGATGACAGTTGCAACAGAGCTGACAAGTAATGCTTGTTTGAGACAGATTATGTGCCCAGTGCTTGGTGTGCATTACTTCCTTTCCACTTCATGATGGTGGTGTGACGTTGGGACTGTCACAGTTCCCGTTCACCAGATGCAGCAACCGAGGTCTGGGAAGGTTAGGTAACTTGCTCAAGATTACACAGCTGGCAGGTGGTAGGGTTTGAAGTCAGATGTGCTGACTCCAGGAGAAAAGAGGGAAGGCGCCTGATTAGAAGGGGCAAGGGCAGCCCTCCACTTCACCCTGCAGTCACCAGGTCAGCGAGGCACTGCCCACGGTCCTGGGGGGCCAGGGTGGGGGTGCCTCCCCCCCCAGGCAAGGCTGGCCCCCTACCCAGAACTCCAGGCATGGGAACATTCTAGGACTCTATGACCTGTACTGCTTGGTCATGCTGTGCCCGGAGCATCAGCCTAGTGGCAGGGCCTTTTGGGGGCTCCCTGGATTTGGGGTCTGCCTGGCTGCGGCTGCAGCTGAGAAGAGGGTGAGGAGGTAGCTGTGTCACCTCCTGCAGAGGGAATGGGCTGCCCTTTCCCCAGGACTGGCGGACACAGGCTGGTTTGGGGGATTTGGGGGCATGCAGCGGGGGGTAAAGCAGGGGCACCAGTGGGTGGATGGAGGCTTGCTACAAGCGAAGGTGGCCTCTGGCTTCTGGTTGCTAGAGATGCCCCTTTCTTTCAAAAGTACCTGGAAATGAGATTTTCAGGCGAGCACCTGGGGTGTTTAAAAGATCCTTTGTCCTTTCCTCCTCCTCCTCCTCTTCCTCTTCTTCCTCCTCCTCCGCTTCCTCCTCCTCCTCCTCCTCCTTCTTCTTCTCTCTCTCTCTCTTTCTCTCTCTCTCTCTCTCTCTCTCTCTCTCTCTCTCTCTCTCTCTCTCATATACTGGGGTTTGAACCCAGGACCTTCAGACTGAGCTACATTTTATTTTTTATTTTTTTGGTTTTTCTCCGGTACCGGGAACCGAACTCGAGCTACATTTTATTTTGAGACAGTCTTGCTAAGGTGGCTGAGTTCCTGGGGGCTGGGCAGGGTCACAGGCATTCAGCACCACACCCAGCTGAGTTCGTATGTTCAGTCTGAAAGCTTGGGGAGACGCGTGCAGCCTGTTGAGGGCTGCCTTGTGCCTGCCTGGCTATGAACTCGAGGGGACTCTGCGTTCAAGCCCCCACCCCCACCTGTAGTAAAGAGTCCTGGGCCCCATGTGTCCTTGTCCCCAGCCCAGCAGGTGCTGCATGGTGCCCACCTGCAGTCCCGCTGACACCTGGGCTGCTGCTCTTTCGTCCTGACCCTGAGCCCAGGCAGCTGGCGCTTTCTTGAGCACAGCTGTCAGGTCCTGCTTGGATGACATGGTGACTTTACTTTAGGCAGGGCTGTGGCGCCCCTCAATACCCCCCAACTTGGTCTGGCCAAATTCAGGTGTGTGTCAGGGATCAGGGGGGTAGGGGCAATAGGGAGAATTCAGTTTCACAGGAGAGCTGCGGCGATCGGCTGGGTGGAAATGTTCTGTGAAAGCGCCTGGCAGCCTTCCAGGCACCCCTTTCCCTGGGGTCTCGGGCTCACCACCACGCCTCCCTGCCTGGCTTACGGGCTGTGATGCCTCTCAGGCACCCACACTGAGTCCTAGAGTTTTCTGAAGTCATCCTGAGTTTGTCCGGATCTGTGCTGGGGACATCGGAGGACTAACGCCTTCCTTGTTGTAGGGGCGACCTGGCATTCTCTTGCAGACCTGTGAGCCCGAGTGGACACCTGACCCAACCGGGTGTGGCTGTAGACAAGGTGACTTCGTCCCTGCCAGTCTCGGTCTGGCTGAGGGAGAGGCAGGAGCATCAGACATGGAGGGGGGGGGCTCCTCCATCCCATCCTGCCGTCCCTGAGAACCCCATCTCTCTCTAGGTCAGCAATGTCATCTGAGCCTCCCCCACCAGCGCCTGCACAGCCCCCCACTCATCAGCCTTCAGGGGGGCTGCTGGACACCCCTCGGGACACACAGCGTTCCCCATCCCCGCTGCGGGACAACGTGGTCCCAAGCCCCCTGCCCACCCGCCGGACGAGGACATTTTCTGCGTGAGTTGGCTGCCTGAGGGCACATTCTCAGATGGGCCTCCTGCCTCGAGCCAGATCTACTGTACTAACCTCAGTGCCCACTGGGGAGTCTGGGGCAGTGCGTGGGCCTGGGCAGAGTGGGGTGTGCCCTGGAGAGTGGGTGGCTATCGTGGGGTCCCCTCATGCCTTCCCCTCTCTGTCAGGACGGTGCGGGCTTCCCAGGGCCCTGTCTACAAAGGAGTCTGCAAGTGCTTCTGCCGGTCCAAGGGCCACGGCTTCATCACCCCAGCGGACGGCGGCCCCGACATCTTTCTGCACATATCTGAGTGAGTCCGTCCCGGGCCGGGCAGGCACTGCCGCGCCACGCGCGTGTGGGGACAGAGTGTGGCTGTAGGGCAGCTGTGTTGGGGTGTGTGTGTGGCCAGGGAGGACATTGCCCGTGTGAGTGTGACTGCATGCCTGTGGATAGTTGTGGAAAGTGTGTGTGTGTGTACACGAGTGTGTGCCACCCTGGGCGGCACAGCCAAGCCTGTGGAAACCGAGAGTGGCAGAACTGCTGCATACGAGCTGGGGGTTGTGTGTCTGGTTGGTGGGAGGGAGGTGTCCCTGAGTTGGGGGTGCCTGTTGGCCTGGGAGCTAGTTTCCTGCTCTCGTCCAAGGGAGGTAGCCCGGTGGGGGTGCAGGCTGGCAGCCCCTCTGCTCCAGGAAGGAAGTTTGGGGTGGACCCTTTCTCTAGCAGTTCACTCACTGACGTCCTTCCTTCCTGACTGTCAACCCCCTCCAGCCCAGGATGGGGCCCACAAATCCTGGGGGCTGGAAAGTGCCCTGTGTCTTACAAGTCACCTTTGGTCTCCTGGGCAGCCATCTGATACATGAAGTCTCTTAATGGCACCCCAGACCAACACCCCTCTGGCCTAAGCAGCCCCCCTTTTTTGGTGCTGACAATTCAGCCCAAGGCCTTTGCACATTGCTAAACAAGCACTCTACCATTGAGCTACATGCCCAGCCCACACACCCCACCTTTCATTTCAGGCAGTGGCAGGCAAATGCCTACTCTGCACAACAGACCTGGCAAACATGGAAGTCACATTTTAAAAAACAGAAGCCTGCCGGGTATGGTGGCAATGCCTACAATCCCAACTTCTTGAGAGGCCGAGGCAGGAGGATTGTGAATTCAAGGTTACCCTGGCTACTTAGACTGTTTCAAAATAAAAAGTAAGGAAAGGGCTGGGGATGCAGCTCAGGGGTACAGCATCCCCGGTTTCAGTCTATAGCACGGCAAAATAAGTAAGATCCTGTTTGCATCATGTGCCCTTCCGCTGGAAGGCCCCCTTACACATGTTGCCATGAAGATGATGTGTGGTATCTTCCGCGCATGTGAACACACACCCACACGCCTCTCCCAGGAAGGACTCGGGGGTGCCCGAGACACGGGCAGTGTGCTATGGAAAGGGAGTTAGTAAGGAGAAGGCAGTGAGCAAGTCTGGCTCACTGTGAGGACTGCGCTGCGAGCTTTCCTGGGCCTCCTGGCGACCACCTCGGAGAGGGGAGCGCTTACTCTAAGATTCCCTGACCAAGATGACCCGGGAGCCGAGGGGATTCTTTTTTCTTGGGCTCTCATCAAGAGGCTTCAAGGCACCAGTTTCGCTGAGATGGGGACTCCCACCCCCTGGAAAGTAAGGAACCTTCCTGGGGATGGTTGCAGGCAGAGGACCCTTCCTGAAACTCGCTTGAAGGGTAACAGGGACTTTTCTTGAAGGCTGTGAGGAGCATGTGCAGAGCTTATGGTCAAAGGCTATGCCCAGTTCCGGGGGTCGGGGTCGGCGTGGCTGAGGGAGTGCAGGAGGCCTTGCTGGGTGCCTGTCCACCCGATACCAGTCCTGGGCCGGCCTCCCCTCTCTGTGACCCGGTTGGCGGTCCTGCCTGCCATCAGCAGGCCCAGCCTCCATAATTAGTGTTATGGTGTGAACATGCACAGGTGCCTGGACTGTTTCGGCCCCTGCATCTGAGCCCCAGGGAGAGGCTGTTGGGGTCAGGGCTGCATGGCCAGGACCCCAAGCCTGGGAGCATGTGCCAGTGCCTTCTAGTGGGATGGCAGGAGGGCAGGTCCTCGGGGTAGGGTTCTGGGTGGCTGGTCAGATGGGCATCCACCGAGGCGGCCTCTGCTCGGCAGGGTCTGGTGTCTTGGGGTGGAGTCTCATCAGGCCTTTCCTGCTGTGAGCATTGTGTCCTTCCCTCCCCTCTAGCGTTGAAGGAGAGTACGTCCCAGTGGAAGGCGATGAAGTCACCTATAAGATGTGCTCCATCCCGCCCAAGAACGAGAAGCTGCAGGCTGTGGAAGTGGTCATAACCCACCTGGCACCAGGCACCAAGCATGAGACCTGGTCTGGGCACGTCGTCAGCTCCTAGGAGGCCCGGGAGCACTCCTCCTCCTGGGCTTCTGGGAGAATTAAGTGGGAGAAGGAGGCGGGGCCACAATGAAGATGACATTCTCCTGCACAAGATGGGGCTTCCAGGGTGGGACGGAGGCCCCTCTCACGTAGCCCTGGAAAGGGACCTGAGGGCAGGCATGGGTGCTCTCGGCCACCAGCACAGCCTCCACCATCATCTCAACAAGCGCTTACCATCTGAAAAGCATTAAACGCATTTGAAAAGGAGAGGCGCCCTAGTGGCTGAGTGGAGAGGTCCAGCCCCCGCCCAGGGGGTGGGTTGGAGGTGGTTTTTCCTCAGCTGCCCAGAACCCCTCTTCTCCCTTTCTTTGAGTTGGAGTCAAAATCCCCAGATCTGTGTGGCCCATAGCAGGTGACTTACCCAAGGTAAATTCCACCTGGTACCCTGGCCGGCACGGAGCGATTTGCTACTTCTCTGCTTGGTTGTTTAAGGGATCTGGCTTCTGTGTGTGGGGGACTTTTGGATTAAGAGACTTTGCTTTTTGGTGCCTTGCAGGAGGGCACCACCACCACCACCACCTGTCCGGGAAGATGGTTCCACCAGGACAGTGATGACAACCTTTTAGAGCTTTCAGTGATACACAGCTCGCTGTGGCCCCTGTCCCAGGGGTTTGTCATTACTGCTGTAGGAGCACCCCTGGGGGTTAGTGCAGTGCACTGGGCTAACCTTGGGCTTTTCACGTCTTCTGGTGGAGCGGTCCCCACTCAGCAGCCATTGAAGTCTTGTCGTTAAGCTGTCACTTGGGGGTGGATTATACAGGAGGCTGTGGCAGAGGGGCTTGTGGAGAGGGTGCAAGTTTGTTTCGGAACAAAACTTGCCTGATTCATCCCGAAAAGAATAGATAGCTTGCTTTCTGATCCCCAGGTAAAGTTAAACGTTGGAGAAATACACTTGTGGTGGTGGTGGTGGTCTTTAAAACCAGTGTGAAGAAATGCTTAGGGATTTTTTTTTTTTTTTTTTTTTAATAAAGCTCACTCCCCCAGAGCTAGCTGATAGACCCTTAGGGCTTCTTTTGTAGTGGTTTGGTTTGACTCTAGGTGTGATTTGAAATTAGAAGTAGTTGGGTAATATGTTTTGAAATACGTGGCCTGGGCCAATTAAGGATGCGCTTGTCAATGCAGGGGTGAGCCTGTGAAGTGGGTTTTCAGGGGGCCGTCAGGGTGGGAGGGTCTCTTGATGCAGGAAGCACTAGCAATCTCATCAAGTGTCTTAACTTTGGGTGTGTTTGGCCTCCCTAATAAGGCTTTGTCTGAAAGGAGATCAAAGGCTGGAACCTTTCTGCTGATGAGTGGTGGGATGGTTTTAAAATAAGCGTGTTGGTGGTTGGGTGTGTGTATGTATTACTCATCTTCTTTATTGCCTGTGGTGCCCCCTGAAGGGTACGTCCTCTCCTGCTCTGCCCTCTGCAGGGTCGATGGTATCTTTTTTCTTGCTGGGTCAAAGGTGGCCTTGGATGGCTCCCTGATGGCATCTCCCCTGGGGCCTGCTGGGCACAGAACACACTTCCACGCCACTTCTGCCAAGAGGGCTGAGGGCTCGCTCGTCATTGCCCGCCCGCCCAAGCATCTCTGTGGCTTCGTCCTTGCCTTGGCATCTGGTCACTGTGGCCTGGAGGGGCCCCTACACTGTTGCCCCCGTCGGCTGTGCCCCACGGTTTGGGAGTCACATTCTGCTGTCAGTGATCTTTCGATTTTCTCGTTTAGCAGAATCCTTTGTCAACAGCTTTCTGGGTGACCACACTTTTTCAGTCCACGAGTTTTCTGGAACTGCCGGATGTGGGAGCTGAAAGAGACAGCCCTCTGCTTTTATGCAGAGCCTCCATTTATGGATGGGGCGGGTCACGGGGTACTGGGGATGGATCTGGGAATAGAATGCAGGATTCCCCAATTTGGATCTCGCTTCCCATCAGCCACCTTTCAATAAAGTTTGTTTTGTGTAGGGCTGTGTGTTTGTTACCATGAGGCTGGCTTGCCAAGAGCTTTGCCTGTGGGCCAGCAGGTTGGGGGACCCCTCCCCGTAGTCAAGGTGACACCTTCTGCTTTGCAGTTCGTTTTTAAAGCAGATCGTCCCTGTTTCCTTCACCGTCATTCTCCAGTGTGAGAGGCTGAGCAGTAGGATGTGGCTCCTGGCGAAGGTAAACAGCACTGGCCCTTGGGTGGTGGTCAGGATGCCGTATGAATGTGAGGTTTCCCACCATCAGCCTGCGGAAAGAAGGGAAGGATCTCCACAGGCAGCCAGTGCCCAGTCCCTAGGTGTTCCTGCCTCAGGTGTCCCAACAGGCTCGAGGGTCTCCAGACACGGTGGGCTGGGGGGCTGGAAGTGGAGGCAAGGCTGTCCCCGTCCTCAAGCCCAGCCAGCGTTACGGGGGAGGGGGGTGGTGGCGGGTAGGATGGTGATTGTCCAAGGGCCACAGCAGGAGTGTCCCATGTGCTTTTGAGGAAAGAGTGTCAGTCTGCCATGGCAGGGGACCAAGGGCAGCCAGAGCCAGGTGGAGACGTGACAGTCCAAGGCACGGGACTGGAGTGGGGAGGGCTGGCAGGGCAGCTGCTGCTCTGGGAGGGACTTCGCCTGGCAGGAAAAGTTTTGCCCAGCCAGTTTCCCAAGGGAGAAGGGCAGGTATTTGGTGATGCAGAATGATCTTCAGTGTACTGGAAAAAATGAAACCAGGCCACCAAACCTGTGTAGGGAGAGGCTGACTTGGCCTTTAGTTCTGAGCGAGATGCGCTGACTTACAGCAGATGAGTATTACATAGAGGTGGAGGGAGGCTGGGGAAACGATGCGGGCCGGAAGGCGCAATGGGTTAGCCAGCCTGGGCTGAAGGGGTTCCAGAACTTACTTCGGGGTGCCCCCACCACCACGAGGCCCTTGCAGGAAGTCCCTCGGGTGTGGGACTGGGACACAGACTGCAGAGGGGCAGGAGGAAGGGGGGCAGGAGGTAGGAAGAGGTAGGGGTTCTAGAACTTACTTTGGAGGTAGGAGGCTAGTTGCCTTTCATTGGGATGAGAAGCACCCAGCCTGGGCAGGGCCGGGATGAGGGGGCTTGGGAGTGGGTAGAGGAAGAGGAAGCGGCCCTCGGAAGTGAGTCAGGGCTGCCTGCGTGTGCCTGGATTGCACTGGATTTCGGCACTGTCTGCTCAGCTTGTCGTTTCTCCACCCCTCCTGCCACTCCCAGCCGGCAGCTGGAGACTTCGCAGTGGCAGGCAGGTCCCTGGGCATCAGCTGGCCAGGGTCTGTGCCTTCCAGGCTGGCTTCTTCGGCACTGTAGTGTCTAGCTCAGGCTGTTCCCCTAGGGCTCCTGAAGCCCTGGGTGACCTTGAATCCAGGTCAGCTTCAGTGGTGCCGGGCAGAGGACTGACTTTCTCAGAACAGGCTCAGGCTGGCTTGGGCGCAGCCCCTGCAGCTCCTTCTTGCTCAACAGTACGGTATTTAAGTTTGTGATGGATGTCTTCATCCTGCCAAGGGAATGACTGCCACCTCACAGGGCTCCTGGAGGCGTGGCGAGTGTAACAGCACACGCTGATGGAAGTGCTGTAGTGAGGTCATTTCCTCCAGGAGACATGTCTGGTGGTGACCGCTGCACTTGAGAGATGAGCAGACAGGCTGAGGGAGTGGGCCCCGAGTCACATGGCTGCCTCGCAGCAGGGGCAGGCGGCCTTGGCCCCGGCAGCTGCTCTCAGTACAGACCTGGCCCTCAGCGCCCGTGGGATGGCAGTATGCACTCTGCTGCTGTGGCTGCACCGTCACCAGGAGGCCCCTGCAGGAAGCCCCTCGGGTGTGGGACTGGGACACGCAGACCGCAGAGGGTCAGGAGGAAGTGGGGCAGAGCCCCAAGTCCAGTTCAGGGGCAAGGGGGTAGGCTGAGGAGACTGCAACAGTGCAGTGGGGTGGCATGCCGGGCAGCCCACCTCCACTTACAAGGAAGGTAGCCAGGGAATCGTCTGCAGAGATGCAGTGCAGGAGGATGTGTCTGGGCCCTGGAATGCCATGGACAGAGCGCCTGTCAGAAACACCAGAGATGCCAGGCATGGTGGCGCACGCCTGTAATCCCAGCACTCGGGAGGCTGAGGCAGGAGGATCGTTGTGAGTTAGAGACCAGCCTGGGCTACAAAGTGAGCTCAAAGCCAGCCTGAACTGCACAGCGAGACCCTGTCTCAAAAAGACAAAAACCAAACCAAACCGAAACAAAAAACCACCAGAGCAGAGAGCCGTGCTCAGCCATCAGGTGGGTTTCCTTCAGAATCTGAGAAGATAAATTGCTACTCCTTCACATCACCACCCACTTGACAGAGGAAGAAAGTCACAGGAGAATGGTGAAGGGCGAAGTTGCTTTACTGTGCTGCGCTTCATCTGTTACAGTACCATTTGCAAAACTCAGCCAGGCCGCAGGGCGGCCAGGTCTTAGAAACCCGGGAGAGAGAGAAAAAAAAACCCTGAGACACCCACCGGTGTGGGAGAGGGGTGAGGGGCAGGTGTGGGTTACTGCGGGCTTTCACCTCACTGATGCTGAGCCCCAGCAGCTGGGCGGCAGGAGCTGGCGGCAGCCATACCTATGGGGAGAACCTGGTGGCCCCTGGGCCCCAGCATCAACCTGCCTGGAGGGACTGTGAGTCCCAGTGTTTCCAGTTACTGCAAAGTGGCTCCGGAACCGTTCTTGGGAATCTCCCAGCCAGGTCCCTGAAAAAGGCAGAGGGGAGGTGGAGGGCAGTGGTAGCTCCCACCCCTCAGGCCAAGGTCTGGACTAGGACCTGGGCAGCAGCAGACACCCCAGTGTGCAGGCGCTGCTCCTGTAACCGTTGCCTGAGGAGCCAGGTCCCACCTGGACAGGGTGGCCCTGGTGACACCTAACCTTGCAAACTGAGCTGCTGCAAACCCAGGCAGCATCCAGCCCACACGGAAAGGGCTGATGGGTCCTCTGCCTTCTAGGACCGGTGCCTACAGGGAAGGAACCAACTGTTCACTATGGCTAGGGAGCTGCCGTAAGCTCCAGGACAGCCAAGGTGCAAACTCCATGGGGTCAGTGGTCACTTGGCCAGCCGCCGGTCTGGCAGGCCATGCTGAGGTCTGTGGCTCATGAAACAGGAAGTAGCTGGAAAACAGTGTGTGCAGTCACTTGGCCTAATGTCACACTGTGCTCAGGATCCCAGCCTCCATTCAGAGTTGGGGTAGGGGTGGGCTGGCGCCTTCTACCTGGGGGTGGGTGGTCACTGCAGATGGCCCCTCCTCTTTCTCAACATCCAACTCCCTTTTGGTGCTGACAACGCAGAGCTCTGGACATTAACAGCTGTTAAATTTTCACAAGACCCACAGGGAGGCCCAGGCACATTTGTTCTGTATCGTTCTAGAATGACTGGGCAGTTTCAAAACAAGCCACGTGTAATCTGAGTGCAGGCATCAGGTGGATCCCACACTGGGGGCTAGAGGACAAGGTCTTTTGTTGCTGTTCCTGCGAGGTTTTTTTTTTTTTGAGACAGGGTTTTACTATGCAGTTCAGGGTGGCCTTGAACTCACTTTGTAGCTGAGGTTGACCCCTTCAACTTACAGCAACCCTTGTGCCTCAGCCTCCCTATTGCTTTTTTTTTTTGTAGAATCCAGGCATCCTGCACCATAGAGTTACTCCTCCAGCCCAGAGCATTCTGGAGTCTTTCTCCTCCCTCCTGGCTGCTCTGGCAGTGGAGGTAGAGGAATGTGCCAGTGGGGTGTGGGGTGACCTCCTGTCCCAGAGGCTGCTGCCTGGCCTGTGCGTGACTGGACAGTGCAGAGGGCCAGGCTGGGGGTGGTGGTGCATGTAGCATGCACGTACGTCAGGGCCATGGCTCTGCCCCCCAGTGACCTTTCCGGCATGTTGGCCACGACCCCTCCTCTTCTGTATTACGAGAAGAGCTTTTCACAAATCCTGCGTGTATCCTCGGGCGCTGTCACGGTGTAGCCCACGGTTCGAGGGTCTGTGAAGATCTCGTAGTCATTGCCACCCTGCAAAGACACAACGCACAAATGCAGAGGCTCCACTCTATCCTCAGCCATGGCCGCTAGGGCCCGGGAGCCTAAGATCTTACTGTGCTGGGAGAATTTCTCCAGGTGCCTGTTTCCAGGAGGGGACCAACACCAGTGCAGCCATTATTGAGAAAGCACTTTAATCTCCTCTAGAACTGCAATTAAGCTGGGAACATGTAATTATGCTTATGAAAAGAATCATGATGCTCTGGTGATGACCTAAGGCTTATTTTTCCGTAAAGAAACAAGCACAATGAACAACAGAATTCTCACAGCATCAATTTGTTTTAGCCACACCCAAACTTCTCCAAGTCCTGAGAGCCCAGGCAGGCCAAGAGCTGGAGCAGGGTTGCGGCCACAGGGCACTGAGGCATGGCTAGTGTGACAGCTGAATTTACCTGGGTTTCATTAAATTTAAAAAACAGCCCCAGCTGGCTAGTGCCCCAGCTGTTGCGAGTGTGTGATCTTTGCAGCGGGCGGCCTGGGTCGGACCCTGGTTCAACAGTGACCAGGGGTGCGGCTGTGGGCAACATCTCCCTCTGGAGGGGGATGATGGGGCCCTGATTGTGGCCTTGTGTGACGGCAGCGAGTTCACCATGGCAGCGCCTGGAGGTGACCAGCTGCACCTGCTCCACAGCTAAGCATTTTCAGCCACTACATCACCTGGAGTGCTTCAAGGGGCACAGGTGTGGGCAGTTTAACCCGAGGCTGTGAGGCCACTGAAGCGTCTGTTTTTATTTTTGGTTTTTTGATTTTTTTTTTTTTTGTACCAGGAATCGAACTCATGACCTCAGGCTTGCCAGGCAAGTGCTTATGCTGCTGAGCTACATCCCTGGCACTATTTTTGTTTTTTTGAGACAGGGTCTTGCTCTGTAATTCACTGTGGCCTTGAACTCAGAGCAGTCCTTCTGCTTCAACCTCCCAAAAGGGGGGAATGACAGGCCTGTCCCACCATGCCCAGCTAAAACGGCTGCTTTTACAAAGGCCACGCCTGGGCGTCTGGTAAGACATGGGTATGTGCTGACATTGAGGCAGGTGTCCAGAAACCAAGCTGAGTGCCCCGACCAGCTGCACCAGCCACAGGTTCCCCGACTGGACTGCCTGCTGCTCCAAAAACCCCCAGCCATGCAGGAAAGCCCCTGCTTTCCTTGTCATGGGGTTTCCCAAACTTTCCTCATCAAACTGAGTATGAAATTCTTTTTTTTTTTTTTTGGTGCCGGGAATCGAATGCAGGACCTTGTGCTTGCTAGGTGGGCACTGTACCGCTGAGGTGTATCTCCAGCCCCCGCAGTTCAATTCTAAAACTGGAAAAAAATCAATTTATAGTGCAATCAACGAGTGTGTAGAACGAATGGATTTTTCTCATAAAGCACAAAACAGGAGGCCAATATGGAGAACACTGTAATTCTCTGGAAAACTGGACATCCTTTTAAAGGCTGAACTGGCACTGAAAATTATGAGTCATCTTGTTTTTGTAAGCACAAGCCACTCCCAGACAAACTCCCCAGGTGGAGGTGAAGTTCAGGACTTCAGGAGGGAACATTTCAGGCCAGGAACTTGGGGCAAGCTTCTATGCAGTCAAGGGCTTTGGGTCGTTGACAGTCCTGAGTTTGTGGCCGGTATCTGCTCCCCAAATACATGTGAAATTCTTATGATTAAATGTCACATTTCTTCTAGGAACAGCACGGTGAGTAAAAATCACAGAGGCTAACAAAGGCAAAATGTGGAAGCCTCAGAACCAAGCATTTGTCTGGGACATGCTCCCTCCGTGTCTCACCTGATGTCGGAGGAAGGAGTAAGTACTCCGGAATTAACGGGGCTTTGGGGAGCACTACCACCTGCCAGGCGTGGATCCCGAAGCTGGAGCACAGTGGTGCACAGAGCAGGCATCAGGGCTGCCTGGGGACTTTGCCGGGGGAAGGCTAACCGTGAACTAATAGATCTTTAAGGTTTGGTGGTCAAGGGAAAGGACTGGAAGAGTAGGGATCAGGAGCTTACAGAGGGCTTCTGAGCAGACCTGAAAGAAGTGAGGGCATGGCCCCTGAGGGTGAGCCAAAGCCAAGAGTGAACCTGGGCAGGGCTGGGGATTTAGCTCAGTGGCAAAAGCCCCTGCCTGGCAAGCGCAAGGTCGTGAGTTCGGTTCCCGGTACCGGAGAAAAACCAAAAAAAAAAAAAAAAAGAGTGAACCTGGGCAGACACTGGGGAGCGAGGAGGCAGGGTTGGAAGGGTCAGCTGGAGCCAGGTGGGCCACGGAGAGCTCCAGAGACCTCAATGAAGCACTTGGGATCTTAGGGGAAGCAACACAACACAACTGGATTGCCTAACAACAGATTTCTCTGGAGAATGGAAGGAGCTGAGGCCCTGAAGGTGGAAGCTGGCCGGGTAGTCAGGAGGCTCCCGCAGCCAGGCAGGGTGGGACAGCAGAGAGCCATTACTTGGGAGGAGAGACCTCCAAACCCAGAAGGTTTTACACTGGCCCGTGACACTGCCATGTCAGCCCCCCCAACAGAAAATGTAACGAGGGCACAGACGTGGCCCGACAGATGCCTACCTTAGCACAAGCCTCCATGGCCCTGCCAGGGGGCACGGGAGGCAACAGTGGAATATAAGTGAGCTTTTGCACCCATGACACTCACCGACACTTCATAAAGCTGGCCAGGTGGAGAATCAAAATGTCCAGGAAGACGAAAGCCTCCTGCCCTGTTGGGTGGGCCACACAGGGTCCCTCCTCAGCTGTCCTTGCTCCTGAGGGCCACCTGCCTCGAACACCACCAAGCTCAGGCCTTTCCACCTCCCACAGCATGTCGGGCTCTTTCCTGGGCTACCCTGAGCCTACACGCCACATAGGTCTGAGGCCGGCAGAGCGGAACCAAGCCCCACGCTGGTGACAGGAGTGCCCTCTAGAACAGGCTTAAGGGAACTGGGAATGTCAAACACTGTATTTGCATATGCACCCAAGGTTCCTGGATTCCTGCAGAGGAAGCTCAGTTACCTGCCTGCTCCCAGCGCTGAGAACAAAAACCCTGTTCCCAGAGAAGACAAAGGGAGGGAAGGACGGGAGGGTGAAGAACACTCGTATCTCTGTGGCAGTGTACTCAGTGAGCCCACGGCAGGGGCCTCTGCTCACTGAAGTCAGCCTGTTAAATGCCTAAAAGCCCAAGCTCTGAGCAAACAGGAGGCTGTAGCAGCGCAGACAGCGGGGTGCTGGCGAGTACCCCCACCCTGCCCTGTTCTACAGAGGCTGTCGCTGAACTAAACAGTGTAGTGGGGAACCTGGTCATCCTCTGACATAGAGCCAAAGAGGGAGAGTGTCAGGGCTGTCTACAGCCTGTGTCCCGACCCCACTGGAAAGCCAGTGGGTCCTTGCTGTGTGCATATCCACCCCCAGCACAAACGGCCCCGCTGTAGCCTATAGTCCAGACTCTTGCTGTCCATGCACACTTACACTATAAACAAAACCTGAATCAGTGTGTGGCAAACAACATCCTCTGAGCATTTTCTGATTATCCCAGGACTGTCTTCCATTCCAACTGAGGCTTCTACCTGCACACACCACAAAGGTTATCCTTACTGATAAAATCTGTTAGATGTTTTAATAGCTCTCTTCTCTTTTTGTAAGAAATGACAGCAGGACTAACGAAACTTCTGGGCATTCCTTACATTCTGGGTGTAGTTTTATTACCTTAATTTTTAAAAGATATTACAGCAGATAGCGAGTTTTCCCCCCCCGAAACCGGAATTCAAACATTTCTGCATCCAAAGCAGTTCTAAAAAGGGATATGGTTATAAGCCATCTCTGTCATTAAGAACAAGGCTGAGGGCAGGGGATGCAGGTCAGTGGTAGAGTGTGTTTCTAACATCATGTATGAGGCCATGGGATCTTTTTTTTTTTGGGTACCGGGGAATCGAACTCAGGACCTTGCACTTGCCAGGCAGGCGCTTATGCCACTGAGCTATATCCCCGGCCCCAAGGGATCTTTTTTAAAGTTAATTTTTAATTTTAATTAGTTCATATTTGCAGTACCTAATGATTACATTCATTGTTGGGGAGGCCATGGGTTCTATCACCACAAAAACAAAACAAAAACCAAGGTGAAATGCTACATTTCTTTCACTGGGGAATCAGAACAAGATTCTTTTCACTCTGCTGAAGAGACAGCTTGTAATGAAATGCGTACTGATTTAAAGAACCTATGTTCCTTTGAAATCCTGACTTCAATGCTTTTGGAAATACACGCAGGAGTAGAATTCTTGGATCACATGTTGTTCTATATTTAACTTTTTTTTGCTGGTAGTAGGATCTGAACCCAGGACATTTGCACTGACCTACATCTCCAGCCCATTATAAAATTTCTAAAATTTTGAGACAGGGTCTCACCAACTTGTTACGTTGCCCAGGCTGGGCTTCAACTGGGAATTCTCATGCTTCAGTCTCTCAGAGTGCTGGGGTTACAGGCATGCACCACCACACTGGCCTGTTCTTAATTTTTTTAGGAAACTCCATAGTGTTTTCCATCTTGGCTGTGCCATGTCACACCCCCACGAGTGCAAGGGTGTGGCAACTCCTCCACTCTCCGGCCAACATTTACTTCTGGGCTTTTCTTCCTTCTTTAGCAGCCACCCCCGCACATCCACGATGACCACACGGTGGTTTGGATTTGCATCTCCCTGATGATTAGGGACAATGACCCTTTTCTGACATATCTGTGGGCCACTCTTTGGAGAAATGTACATTCTCCACCTTTAAACTGCATTATTTTTTTGCTATTGAGTGGCAGGAGTTTCTTATATATTTTGGATAGCAGCCCTTTAACGACATGCGGTTTTCATATATTTTTCTCCCTTGCACAGGCTGCTGTTTCACTCACCTGCTTCCGTTGGGTGCAGCAGCTCTGCAGCCTGACATAATCCCACTTGCTTATTTTGGTTGTGTTGTGTGTGCCCTTGGGATCAGATCTAAGAAAGCACTGCAAAGGCCAAAGTCCCTTCCCCCTGGCTTTCCCCTGTTTTCTTCTAGGAGATTTCCAGCCCCTAGACGTATGTGTAACTCTTCAATCCACACGTATATAGACAAAAGAATGAAATCAGGATGTTGCAGAGATACCTAAACTTCCATGTTCATGGCAGCGTTATGCCTAATGGCCAAGAGAAGGACAGATGAATAAAGAAACTGTGTATATATATATTCATTCACAAAGTGGAATATTATACAGCCTTAAAAAGGAGGGAGATCCTGTCACTTGCACAACATGGATTAACCTGAAGGACATTTCACTAAGTGATATAAACCAGTTACAGAAGGACAAATACTGGATGATTCCAAATGAAGAACAGAGAAAGAAGGCAGGGGAGGGGAGAGGAGCTGTCTAGTGGGTATAAAGTTTCATTTATATAAGTTCAATCGAGTTCTAGTAAATCAAGTTCACAGTGACTATAGGTAACAATATTACAGTGTCCACTTAAAGTTTTGTTAAGAGGGTTGATCTCATATTAAGTGTTATAAAAACATCATTACTAACCCCTCCAGAACCAAAGATGCACAGAGATGTACAAACTCATCAAAATCGCACTTACTAAATATTTACAGCTTTTGTATATCGGTTATACCTCAATAAAGCAATTTAAAACAAAGAGCTGATCGATTTGTTCTGCAGCCACTGGCTCTGTCATTAGTTATGTCATGGACCCCTTCACATCCTGGCTTTGTCATTCTGAAAGCAGGAAGTACGCCTACAGCCCCCGGAGTCCCCTTCACACTGGGGCCTTGCTGGAAGGCAGAACTCACGCACGGGGCCATTAGAAGAGCAGCAGGTTTCTGGAGTGGCCCAGTGATCAGAGGGATGAGGACTCTGCGTCTGCATCAGTTATGCTGCACCTGCTGGGTGCAGTTTGAACTGGAACCCCTAAAGGCAAGGGAGGAGACACCCTGGGGAGCACACGCAAGGGAAGCAGAGAAATTTGAAGGGATACAGCTCACTGAGGTGGTAAGACCAAGATGGGCAGCAAGGAGCTGAGGCTCAAGCTTCTGGGCAGCAGGGTCTGCCCATCCAGGGACAGCCCCACTGTGCTGCCACTGTGGCTCTGGGGAATCTGCCTCTAGTTTCCCACGGCTGTGCTCAGCCCCCACCTTGGATTTTGTGTTGGACGGGGATTTCCGACCCCCGCTGACCCCAACAGTTCCCAGTGCCCTCTGCGTCTGCCGGTCAGGACTGACCCTACCTCTGAACTACCCCTGGTGCCTTTTCCTGAGAGTCCCTACCATCCCAGCACCTATGACTCCCAGCGCTTGATTTACAGTAAAAACCTGGGGTGGGGGGCGTATAGTAAAACAAGACCGAGCTGGGGATTTAGCTCAGTGGCACAGCGCCTGCCTGGCAAGCGCAAGGTCGTGAGTTTGATTCCTGGTACCGGAAAAAAAAAAAAAAAAAAAAGACAAAAACAGCAAGGGCTTTGAAATACAAAGCATTTGACCACACCACCAAAGACTGGTGCTCTGGAAGGCACTTGAAGTGGGAAATGTTTAATTCACAAGCCAAACCCAAAAGGATCGGTTAACACGCAGTCTGATCCTGGGCACCGGCTATCTGAGCTCGGAGGGGAGAGAAGCTGCCTCACACCCCTCTCTAGGGCAGAAGCCATCACCCAAGTGGAGTGGGGCTGGCGGGTGAAGTGTGTGTGTGCAGGGAAAATAGCCTGAGTCCTGCTCATACCCCTTTCAAGCCTGAACTGAGTAATGAAGCTGCAAAAACATTTTCCTACTTACCGGCATAGTTTTGTCTCCAAAGAAGTAAATGGTCTTATAACCGTCACTCTCCACATGTCTCAGGCAGTATCTCTTGTCCCATCCGTCAGGGAACACGTCAAAGCTGATTTGGCCTCCTGCCAGGTGGGGGAGAATATATACAAAAGCTAAGGGTGCCAAACAGGCCCATGAGGGATGGAGGTACAACTCGCTGAGAAAGCTTGCCTGGCATGTGGGAGATCCTGGGTTCTACCCCGGCACTTCCCCCCACCCCACACAAAGATGCGTCACTGAAGAAAACTTACTGTTTACTCTTTGTCAGCAACTACACTGTCCAAGCCTGGAATTTTATACCCTCCTTTGCTACTTACACTACTTTAGGTGCAGACTGTAGAACTTAACTTTTTGTTTTTGGAGACATGGTTTTGTTATGCAGTTCAGGCTGTCCTTGAACTTGTGGTGATCCTCCCTGCCTCAGCCCCCTGGGTGCCTGGATTATAGGTGTGCCCTGTTATTTTAACTTATCTATGAAGTCCACATTCTGTCTCTCTTCTGGAGTTTACTACAGTGCTTCTCTGCTCCTCTTCTGACCAAGGAGACAGACACAGACAGAGGGAATCCTGCCGCATGAGGACGTAGAAACAGGCACAGAGTAAGGTGCAGCGGCACATGCCTATAATCTCAGCGGCTCGGGAGCTGGAGGCAGGAGGATCGCAAGTGTGAGCCTACCTTGGGCAACTGACAGACCCTATCTCACGCTAAAAAAAAAATTTTAAAAAGGGCTGGGCAGTGTAGCTCAGTGGTAGAACACTTGCCTAGCTCACCTGAGGCCCTAGGTTTAGTCCTCAGTACTGGGAAAAAAAAAACAAACCAAACACAACAGCGGGGAAGCCATTTCTGGCTGTGGGGCAAATCCAGCGATGGCAGATGCTGCTGAAGAAAGTAACTGGCTCCCCCTACAGGCTGCACCGCTCACATATCTTCCTGCGCCCGTGACACCGAGCACAGTCAGTCTCAGCAGCACAACCAACAGCAGTGCTGGGGGATGGGGACAAGGCCCGGAACACAGTGAGGTAGACCGTACCTATGGAAAAGGTGAGGCCTTTTCCTGCAAACTCCTTCTGCAGATCCGCGACGAACTTCTGTCTTATGTTTTCCTTCTGAGGAAAACAAAGACAGCAATCGGCATTGTATTACAGCGTAGAAGAAGTATCTGAAATTCTGGTCACAACGTTGCACGTCTTACTGTCACAAACCCAGCCATTTCCCCAGGACAGTTCGGAAGGACTCACTTTATCGAGTTCATAGAATTCAATGCGTTCTTCTTGGCTGCAGCTTCTTCCAATAGGGGACACATTCAGCATCCCATTTCGGAATTCAATGAAAGTACCCCTGGGGAGGGAAAGGGGACAGAGGGTCCCTAAAACACCTCACTGAGATGGGCAACATTATAATCTTTTTTTTTTTTTGTGGTGCAGGGGATTGAACCCGGGGCCTTGTGCATGCAAGGCAAGAGCTCTACCACTGAGCCACGTCCCTAGTCCCTGGGCAACGTTATAGACAGGTAAACTGCTAAAAAGTTGAGTGGTTCTAAAAAGTAGAGGGGACAAGACCCACGTTTCTCAGAGCTGTGCCACAAAGTAACCCTGAACACAGGGTCACACAGCCTTGAGATGTGGCTACGCCCGGATGTGATTTGAGACACACTAAAAGAAAGGAGTGTAATCATCACCCGCAGTGTTTGATACTGTTTGTTAAAATGATACTCTGGATATACTGAGTTAAAGATAAATTACTAAAAAATTAATTTCACCTATTCCTTTCTGGTTTTATGTGGCTACAGGAAATTTAAAAACACATTTGTGGCTCTGGGCAGTGCTGCGGCTGGGAAGATTTTATGGTTAATAAAGAGCTACGAAAATGACCACCGGCATTGCAGAAGCAGTCCCTTGTGCCCTAAGGAGTTGGAAAACACATTTCCTGGACACTTATTTTGCTCGTGAGCTCCCACACAGACCGACTGCATTAAGCAAAAAAGGCTGCACTGACAGGTTCTGAGAGTCATCCAGACAGCCTCAGTCCGAGCTGAGGAAACTCAATTTACCCAGCGGCACACTGCTCCCAAAGGTCTGATTTGATCGCAGAAAACGAGAACAGCATGACACCGCCTTAGTCACTCTGAATGAAGAGCTTGAAAAACAGTTTTTCCTACCATGTCTCCAGTGTCAGTCTCAGAACAGTTTCTAAAACTGAGATAACCTAAAGCTACGTACTCATTTTTAAAAATGAACTTCCACCATTTTGTGACCAACTATGCACGGTGGAGCCTACAAGCCAGCTGGAGTAGTATCCGTGATCTCTGCCCATGGCCTTCATCACACGATCCCGACCTCCGGCTACCTGCCGCTGTAAATAATTAGAGGCCACGTGTCAGGTGCGAAGCTAAGCACAGCCTCTTACTAGGCTGTCCCGCCCTGGGCACCTACACCCCTGCTAGCTCATCTACAGAAAGAGGTTATGGCGCTGCCCTGGTGACCTCTGAAGGGTTCTGTGAAGATCAAATGCAATGTACCAGTCTATGTAGAGTTACTTTGGAAACTGGGAAGCAACTAAATATTGTTCAAGTAAGGTACAAGCAAACTCTGGCAGCCGGATCCCACCCCCTGCTGTGCTCACCTTGCAAAGGAAGTGATAAATAATATACAATCACAAGTACCTAATAAAAGTTTTCCAAAGACCCCGTGTCTGTGATGTCCCAGACTTGGGACACCCAGCCCTGTCCTTTACATCTACATGCCACCGAGGAACTATGGGGCTGCTGACCACTCCCGGGGCGACTCTAGGGCCACTGGTCCTAAGCTATCAGATACTTATTCAATAAGCACAGTTATTTCCCCCAACCCAAGGACATATTACTCACTCCCAAAGCATGGATGGAGGTCTTCTGAAAAACATGGATCAGGGTAGTCAAGACTCCTGGCTATCTGAGGTTTTACAGCCTGACTTAGGGACAGCACATGGTTAATAGTCGTGCAGAACATGGATAACTGTGAGTCTCAGTTCAGCTTCCCGAGGCAGCTTCCTTACACTATTCTGCAATTACAGCTGTGCATCTGTCTCCTTCCTCAGACTAAAAGTACTTTGAGGGGCTGGGGATTTAGCTCAGCAGCAAAAGCGCCTGCCTGGCAAGTGCAAGGTCGTGAGTTCAGTTCCCAGTACCAGAGAAAAACTAAAAAAAAAAAAAAAAAAAAAAGTACTTTGAGGACGGCATTATGCTTTGTCCTTTTTTTTTTTTTTTTTTTTAAAAAACCCTCCATTAATGCTTAGCCCAGGGGCTGGGGATGTAGCTCAGTGGCAAAAGTGTTTGCCTGGCAAGTGCAAGGTCGTGAGTTTGATTCCTGGTACAGGAAGGAAAAACAAAACAAAACAAAACAAAATGCTTAGCCCAAAGTAAGGGTGGAATGGACTGGAAATATGTGTATTTTAACTTTTCACATGGGGGATTTCTACCATATATAAACATAAGCAGAATAGATAAGGAACCCGCTCACACCCATCACCCAACTGCAAGTACCACCGACACCCGCCCCAGTACAGAGAAGCTCCTGCAGGCCCACTGGAGAAGCTGTGGGAGGCAGTGGCTAGGCATTCTGACAGCCCGGAGCAGCCTCTGGAGTGCAGCATACACTAAATGTTAGTGGCAAAGACTTTTGTCTCCCTGCTGATTAAAGATGCTACTTAGTAACTACTGAAAACTGGGAAGAAAAAAAGTGTCAAAGAATCACCTCAACCTCTCATTACTAAGAAAGAGCCAGTTAGCCTGTGAGCCCACTCCCTGCCAATCCCTGCACGGTGGGCCTGACGAGGTGCATCGCCGCGAGTCTCAGAAGGGGGATTATGATGGAGCAGCAGCCAAACCAGGAGGCAGACCCCACTCCAAGGTCTGCAGGGGTCAGAGAGTGGGAAGTGGGCTCTGAAAGCCTGGAACAAGGGCTGTGGGTTGGGTGTGCGGGAGAGAGGGGCTGCCGTGTGGCAGCGACAAGCCAGACAGCCAGGTCTTCACATCTGCCAGCAGGAGCCAGAAACGCACATGGTTGGAAAAGAGAAATCAGACTCATTTTTATTTTTTGGAGACAGGGTCTCACTATGTAGTCCAGGCTGGCCTTAAACTTGCTATGTATCCTGGGCTGGCCTATACTCGCAACCATCTTCCTGCCTCAGCCTCCTGAGTGTTGGGATTACAAGCGTGCGCCACTACCCCCCGGGGAGACTCATTTTTAAATGACAGCAATTAATTTGGATTTTATGTAAGATTTGGTGTTGTGTGGGATCTGGCTTGGAAGTGTCCAATTATGAAACTTCAGACCTAGGGGTTCTGCTGTTCTTTTTACACGGGGTTCCTCTCACAGCCTCCAAAGGTGCACACTTTCCATGGCGTGTTTGATTAACTACATGTGGATTCGCCACCTCCCACACAAGCCTCACACTGTCGGCTTTAGAAATCCTTTCCAATTATTCCTCCTTAAATGCTGGGCTTCGCATATCCACAAGCATTAACCCACCAAATGACACGACTCCACATTTTAGCAGAGCTCTTTTGCTAAAAGCAAAAACCCACCTTTTCTTTGGGAGTTTAATTTTTGCAATGTAGCTTAGACAGTAGTTGATTAAATCTTGAATTAGGGCCTCACCCAGGTGACCTTGAATACTCTAGATTAAAAAAAAAAAAACTGTAGTTACTTATTTACCAGGACGTATTTTCAAAACAGCTGTGTAGCAAACCTAAATCGTTAGCCACTACTGCTAGGAAGTCACCAGGCTGGTGTTCCAGGGCCACTGACGCCATGAACATTTTCTGTTCGTTATCTTTCAAATACTTCCTGGAAGGTCCAGAGTCTACTGCTGTTGCTCTTGTTCAATTATAACACCAACAGACATGAATAGAAAATACACTTGTTCTGCCTTAGCTTTCCCTTATGTCTGCACAGAATGATCCTCTGCTACTAAAAGCAACACAGGACCTCTGCAAGATGTTTACAGTGCAGTAGCCGGGCCCAGTTCCTGCGGTTGCAACAGAAATATGAGATTTATGTATCCTTGAAAGACAAATATAAAAATGTAGTCATCAATTTGCAATATGCAACAGTCACACGGTTCAAGATTCAAATCTTTGGTGTGAGAAACTGCAAGTGTAAATAAGGACAAAAGTGTGTAACAGGTTATGGTGAAATAGAAAGGAAACGTTCACATGGGGAGGGGAGCAAGGGAGGGAGGAGGGAAAGGAGAGAAGGGAAAGGGGAAAAAAATGAGAAAAGAAGGAAAAAAATGGAAACAAAGCTTCTACAAATGGGGAGAGGAGGAGGAGTTGAAGGGGGCAGGGCAATGTGGAAAGAAACAAATTTTATCATGTACAGATACAAATTCTCTATGACGATGTATCATTACGTATATGTAAAATGCACCAAGAAAATATGACTGGAGAAAAAAAGACTTAAATCTTAAATAAATATAGAATAAATATTCCCACTTGTTTCTCAGCTTCTCAGTGTGCCCTCCCAGAGGCATTCAATGTCAAACACCCTTTTAAATATTTTATTTTATTTTATTTTTTGGGACAACGTCTTGGTACGTAGTTCAGGCTGGCCTTGAAATCACTATGTGGCCCAGGCTGGCCTCAAACTCACAGTGATCTTCCTGCCTCAGCCTCCCAAGTGCTAGGATTATAGGGATGAGCCACCATGTCCAGCTCTAAATATTTTAATAGTAGTAAACAACAGTTCCCATACTTAACAACATACCTGTTTACATAAGAGTTTCCCATCTTTGTATGCTACCAAGCCATTTTCCGGAAACACATAGTTATATTTCTCTACCACTAAAACCAAAACAAAAGAAAACTTAGAATGTAATAAATCAAAATATACATTTGTTTCTTGGCTAACACTCACCATCAATAAAACTGCTAAACTTTAGTAAGCAGGGTAAAAGACAATCTCATTTTAACAGAGTGGGAGGAGGGAGAAAAGCTCCTAAAAAAAAGAGAAAAGAAAAAATGGGCCTTTGGTTGCCAATTTAAAGGCTAACGAGTGGGCCGGAGACTGAAACTTGGGGATGGGCTGCCGAGTCCCTGCCTTCGGCTGGTCGGTCTGAGGCTGCTGGCCCACCACGGCGCCCAAACCTTGCTTCGAACCAGGAGCACCAGGGCAATGCTGATTGTCATGCTCTGCTCTCAGGCTATCTCAATCAGAATGGCCAGGGGAAAGGTTAAGACTGCTTTTCTAAAAAGCTGTTTAGGTGATTCTTATCATCAGATTTGGAGACCATCACGTAACTGTAATAGCGGGATTCTCAAACTTTAGGCACTTGTCAAAATTCAGGCACCGCACCACTGTGTACTGGATGGAGCACTCAGTCGTAATTTAGTAAGAGGACGGTGAGGCAGGCGGGCCTTCAACGTTCTCCAGCTTGTGACGGAACGTGCACCGTCCCTCACCGACACAGTACCTCTCTCAGTGTGTGTCAAACACACCGCCAGACGCGGGAGGGGCAATCAAGACCAAGTGACAGATTTCTGGGGCTTAATGTGTACAACAGCAAGCTTTAAAAGGTTTGTATACATTACTCTTGTAGTAATGATGACCCAATATAGTCTCACAGAACTCCACTGTAAGATAAGACATACAGAGCAGGGTGTGGTGGCACTCAGGAGGCTGAAGCAAGAGAACTGCTGTGAGTTCGAGGTCAGCCTGGGCTACATAGTGAGTATAGGGCCAGCCTAATCTACACAGTGAGACTGTATCTCAATAAGTAAAACAAACAAAAAAGATAAATGGGAGTTCCTGCCAAACATGGTTGTTCACACCTTAACCTCGGCACTATGGGAGGCTGAGGCAGGAGGGTCACAAGTTCAAGTCTCACTTGAGCAACTTAATGACTTAGTGAGATAGTCTCAAAATAAAAAATGGGCTGAAAATGGAGCTCAGTTTGAAGGCCTTGGGTTCAATTCCCACTATATATATATAAGGAAAAAAAATCAGAGAATTCCTAACTGGGAGTGTCTGACAACGTCTGGAGACAATTTTAGTTGTGAAAACTGTGTGTGTGTGTGTGTACACTCTGTAGGAATCTAATGAGTAAAGAAAAGGGATTTTGTTAAATATCCTACAATGCACAGGGCTCCCGTAACAGAACTATCTGGGTCCAAATGTCAGCAGTGACAAAGCTGAGAAACCTTGCTCTAGCAGAGCTGGTTCCGAGATGTGAGGACTCTGGGGACAACAGGGGTGAAGAGAACAATCCATTAATCCACCAAGTCTAACAGTTTCCAGAGGCCCTGAGGTCACAGAGATGAAAAACCGCACAGTCCTGGTCTTCAAGGCAAACACAGAACCAGAGTTTTGAAAAATCAGAGTGTACTTTAGCAGGGCTGTGCACCAGCACCTTTTGGAGTACTTGCTAACAATGCCCAGGTCCTGCCTGGACCTTATCCAGTCGCAATCTCCCGGGAAGCGGCCGGTGAGACTCCAGTGTCGGGGGCTGCTGGAGACTGTGGTTTGGGGCGGGGTGGAGGCTGGTGGCTCTCAGGATACAGGAACTCTGGGGAACACTGCGCCAGGGCAGGGGTGAGGAGGCGCTCAGGTCGCGAGGCCGGTCCGCGCTGCGGTGACCAGCAGGGCAGGAGGTGGGGCCTGCGCTAAGGCTGACAGGCAGAGTACAGACAAGCAGTTGATTCAGGCAAAAGGTTCCGTGTGCAAAGAAGCAGACACTGCTTTCTAGGTGAATCTACCCACAAATCAGTGTAAAGCGTTCCACCAACAACGCCAAAGCATGACTTTTGGGAATAAATGCAAAGGAAATATAGAGGCAGAGAAAATGTCTCCCCAAAGAAGGAAGAAAGCATGCCACATGTGGACGGGGTTTGGGATGGCTCGGACCCTTGGTTACAGGTCCCAATACAGACCAGTTAACTTTGACCAAAATGTAACTAGCAACGCAGAGTTACCATCAGCGCCCAGCTGTTCCTGCACTTTCTCAAAGTCCGACCCGCCTACCACTCCAATTTTGGTCTTCTGCTTCAACTTTTGTAGGAAGTCATCCATTTCTTTGGTAATTTTCTACATTTCAAGAAGGAAAATACAAGAGTCAGGAACCACAAAAATAATCAGTAACTGAAACTGCAAGAGTATACAGCTCTTATTTTATTCACTTGGTTTTATTGGCGTATGTTTGCTATACGTGATGTTTATTTTTATACACGCCAGTTCAGTTGCTAGGTCTGTAGATATTTTTCAAGTATTTTAGTTGTAATTTTGGGTAATTAACTTTATACTAGAATAAACTTATTGAATTTTACATATTTTTGCCCAAAATTTAAACACATAGGCAATTTATTAACACTTGTTGTATACTATTCTGCTGCTTCTCCATAAATTTACATGCCTGTCAACATGTATACATACAATTAGGTACATAAACATCAATGAATTATTTTATGTCGTATGCTGTAACTTGCCTTTTTTAGCACCATACTATAGTGATACTTCCATCCCAATATACAGATTTAGTTCATTCCTTTCAAATGTGATTTATTCCATTTACAGACTTGTTTATTTAAAAACAAAAAAAAAATGAAATTAAAAAGTTCAGGATTCATTATAATCACATAAAACAAAGCATGGCTAGGAATGTAGCTGAGTATACAGTATGTTTCTAACATGTAAGGCCTCAGGTTCATACACAGTACCACCACCACCACGTCAACAATAACAACAGAAACCCCACACTCAAAAACCAAAGAAAGAGAACATCATTATATTTTTTAGTTTCGCTGAAAAAAAAAGTTCCTATCTATAAACTGTGGCCCTACTGGTATCATTTTATGCTGGTCAAATTCCAAACTGAGATAATTCAAAATAAATTACACACTAGGAAAGATACCCGTATAGTAAGACAAATCACAATGAATTTTTAATAATTCATTATTTATAGCGTGTGTGTGTATGTGTGTGTGTGTTGGTATCAGGGACTGAACTTGGGACTCTGCCCAGGATGAACAAGTACTCTACCACTGAGCTATACCCCAGCTCCCCCTTTTTTTTGAGACAAGAGTCTCATTATGTATCCCAGGTTGGTCTCGAACTCACAGTGATCCTCCTACCTTAGCCTCCCAAGTGCTGGGATTACAGGTGTGTATCACCACACCTGGCATATACCCCAGCCCATTTCTAGCAACCTTGGCTGGATACTTATTTTTTCAAAACCTATTTAACCTAACCTCAGTATATAAACCGCTTAACTTCACTTCAGTATACAATTTTTTAGAGTAACATATACGTACGATTAATAAAGCTTTACAGAGGGGCTTATAATAGATTTCAATCTTTCCCATCTCTCGCAGAAGAATCGTGACCTACTAGATAAAATCCAGAACTGCCCTAGTGGTGTCTATGTGTCAGTGAGAACTGTGAACACTTATGTTAGAGTCCCCAAGTGGTTCGCTCAGACCTGACATCAGAATGGGAGGAATTATGGAAGAATCCCCAAACAGTACTAACCATGCTAACCGCAGCAATACTTCCATCTCTGAACAGAAGCCCAAGGCACAATGTATTTTATCTAATTCTTATGTAAACTGATGAGTTAAACGACATTGTGGTCAATCATCATGACATGTTTTGCAATGAGAATGGTTTCTTAAAAACCATTTGCTTCCAAGTAGCAGCGAATACTTCTTGACAGGAAATAGGACCCATATGTTGTAACCACAGCAGAGCATCCCTCCCTTCCTTCCTTCCTTCCTCCCTTCCTCCCTTCCTTCCTTCCTTCCTTCCTCCCTCCCTCCCTCCCTCCCTATGTAGCCCAGGCTAGCCTGGAAATCATGGCAATCCTCCTTTCTCAGCCTCTCAGGTGCTGGGATCACAGGACTGCACCACCATATCCAGCTTCTCTGCATTGTTTTCAATGTTTCGTGTTTGAACTTTTCATGATATCCCTTTCTGTTTGTAGACTTTTGTTCTAACTCCCAATTGATTTTAGATGGATTGGCACTTTTAGGAAAGTATGTAGTATAACAAACTTCTACTAAAACAGTAAAATCTGCAAATGTCTGCAGTCTACGGTGATTAGATTTAACCTGACTGGCTCATATCCTGCTTCAGCAACTGCAATAAAAAATGAATTCATTTTTTTTTTTTTTTTTAGATTGTACACATGAAAGAGGGAAAAACTATGATCTGTTGCTAAAGTACTTTTACCTAAAGTGTCCAGCCTCCAGAAAAATTCTTTTTTAAATTATTGATTTTATTTTATTTTATTTATTTTTTGAGATAGGGTCCTGCTATGTAGTTCAGGCTGGGTTTGAAGTCACTATAGTGCCCAGGTTGTCCTTGAACACATGGTGACCCTCCTGCCTCAGCTTCCTGAGTACTGGGATTACTTGTGTGGTCACCATGCTCTGCTAGATTTTTTTTTTTTTTGAGTGTAAAAATTATTTATAGCAAGGAATACCATGCTTCAGTGAATACATTCTGGGTCATACGGTTAGTTATTTTGTATTTTATGAACGTATATCAGGATTCTTTCTGGGAAGAGGCACTCTTCCGAACACCCAGTACAGTGTCCATCTCAGCACAGTAAATTGGACAAAAAATAATGCCCTGAGGCCCAGCGACCTGTACAAGGTCTGCTATGTGAAACTGAGGAGGTCAGAGCTTTAGTGGCTCTCAGTTTCTGTATGTTTAAGATGGTAGTAACAACTATTTCACCTGGGACAAAAGATGAAAGACTGACAGTATTCAACATTAAGCAAAAGTGACTGGAAAGGTAAACCCTAGACCACTACAGGGACGGGCACAAACTGAACAGCTGTTTGCTTTTGTAACAAGTTTTACTGGAACTCAGTCACTCTGTGTTTACATATGATCTATGCCTGCTTTTGCACTGAAGTTGATTAGTTACTATACACCATATGGCCTGCGGAAACTAAACTAATTAGTATGTGACCCTGTACAAAGAGTAAACTGTGGATCCCAATTTACCCCTATAACTCTTTTTTTTTTTTTTTTGGTTTTGGTTTTTCTCCGGTACCAGGAACCGAACTCACCACCTTGCGCTTGCCAGGCAGGCGCTTTTGCCGCTGAGCTAAATCCCCAGCCCCCCCCTATAACTCTTAACAACCCAACTGTGTGCTGATCTGAGTCAGGAAAGGCCTCTGGAGAACCTGGAGTTGAATGTTACCACGAGATGGATCACATCTGTGGCTCGGAAAGGTAAAATGATACAGCTAAGGTCACATACATTTGACATGGACTTCCGGAGGACACCTCACCAAAAACTAAAGAGGCTGGGGTGGAAGTTGAGAAGTGTCTGGCCCTTTGGGCCCAATCTCCTTTGAGTGGGGTTTAAGAGACCAATTTGTGCAACAGGTCAGACAAGCCTCACCATAAGGCTGATCTTAACTGAAACTTAACAGTGACTGCAGCAGCAAATTCTAGGAATGGGAAGCATATTTCCCAGGGCCCAAGAAAGCTCTCAGCAGGGAGTACGTAATGATCTAGGTCTTTTCTCATCATCCCAATTCACTGCAGGGGTTGGTGGAGATGACTAATGTTTGAGGTCTACTCTGTGCAAGACACTTCCAGGAACTTACTTAATTTCATTAGATCCTCAAAAACACCACGTGGCGCCGAGTGTGGTGGCGGTGCATGCCTGTAATCCCGTGACTCGGGAGGCTGAGGCAGGAGGACCGCCATAAGTTTGAGGCCTGCCTGAGCTACACAGTGAGTTTAAGGTCAGCCCAAAATGTACAGGGAAAACCAGCCTAAAAAAAACCCCCAAACCCCCAAACACCAAAACCAAAAGCACCATATGGAGCAGGTAATGACCTCATTGAAAGCTACAGCCAAGGAGGCTCAAAGAGGTTAACTGGCTTGCTCAAGGTCACACAGCTGTCAAGAGGTCTGGAAACCGATGTTTTTAATATGCTACGCGGCACAGCTCACAGGTGACAGGACCGGGGAGGTCACGTAGCTGGTGAAAGGGCTTGCGGTGGCGTTCCAATCCAGGTCCATCGCTCCCCGCAGCTTGAGGTTAAATCTAGACCTGCATTTTCCAAACCCCTGCATTTTAAGACTGTCTTCGTCTTAAAACTCTTTTTTGGTTCTACCTTATGTCTCTGAGTATCCCGAGGTCACAAAGAGCTGGTTGGATCTTCAGTCTCAATTCTCTAAGATGAGGACTGAGCCCACGGCAGGGGGAGACGGTCCTTAGTCGCCCCTTGGCGCCCATCCCAGGTGGTCGGGAGCTCCTTCTGCGAGCAGCAGGGCGCCGCACTTGCAGCCACCGGTGTGCCGAGCACTGCCTACCTGCCGCGGGGCCGTCAGGGTCCCGTCCACATCGAAGAGGCACAGCGCCGGCCGGGTCGCAGCCATCTCTCGGGTTTCCGGGGGACGCTTGATCGGACTCGTTGGCAGTAGGAACTCAGCCCGGAACTTCCGGGTCTGGCCGCCAAGCCGCAGCGCATGTCGGGAAGAGGAGAAGTCCACTGGGTCCCACAATGCTTGGGAAGAGGGTCAGGCGCTGTCCCTGGACTACGACTCCCAAGATGCAATGCGCACTATGAGAACGCCTCTTACGTCCGACCGTGCGCTTAGACGTTCCGGGTGTAGTGGGATTCGTTTCCGGCCGCTGGTGTTGGGCCATGGTAAGGACTCGTGGTGAGCGGCGAGGGTGGTGGCATGTTTGGGGGGCCCTAGGTAGCAGCTGGGGCTGGCAGGCAGGATTCCTGAGTTTCTGACTCGCATAGTCTGCGGGAGGAAGCCCGGCGTTGGTTACGATTTGCCCGGCGTTGGTTACGATTTGCTGTTCTCCAGCGTCCTCTGCTCCCCTCGGGTTACGCGGACCGACCGCCGGGGTAACTACAATTTGCAGAGGGCTCTTCATGCAACAGATGCTAAGTTGAGGGCTTCGGTGTTTCCTGAATCTCTTGCTAAGTAAAGAAGTAAGGCTCAGAGAGGTGGAGTAACTTTCCCAAGGATCCACAGCTAATGATTGTTGAAGTCAGAATTGGGATCCACATCTGGCTCCAAAGCCCAGAGCTTTGCCCACTGCAATGCTCAGTAACAAAATTCGTGTGCTGTCTGTTGCGCCCTGCCTGCCTCATTCCTCCTGTACTCTTCCGTGTCCCCAGCTAACCTGACAGAAGACGACAGTTTTCTCCAGCTCCAAGAAAATGCATAAACTGGGCAGATAACTGCAAAGTTGCTGTGATAAATATCTCCTAGATTTGTTGTTTGAATTTCTCACTAGGACACTGACTAATTAGTTCCATGCTTGTAAAAATGTTCACACAGCTTTGTGTATCCAGGGTCCAGCCCAGTGTTGGCCCTCCCAAGGTATTTGTGGAATGAATGAAGCTATTCCTTCTTTTCTGTGTTCGCTTGGAACTGCCTTGGGGGAAGAGGATCAGTTTGAGAGTCAGATTCTGTGTTCTGCTGTGTGTCCTTCGATAAGTTTCTTACCCTCTCTGAGCTTATTTTCCTTAGTGGTAAAGTGGAAGTAGTGTTCACGGTTCCATTTGTGAAGTGTACGTGAAGTAAAGCATCTGACTTTACCTTTCTCCCCTTCTCTGGCTGTGATGGTGAATTCATAGGCTTGTCAGGAGTTTCCCTGTGGGGTGCTTTACAGATGTTCATTGTGCGATCAACATGGTTAAGTCCCATGAGAAAAACGTCTCCTCTCTCCCTTCCAGGCTGCTCTCCTGCGAGCTGTGCTAAAGTTTCGGGGGCCAGCTGCCCAGGGAAGACTTCTTCACAGGCAGTGGTACTGCAGTGGGCAAGAGAATCCCAAGAGCTGGGTGGGGAACAGGTCGCCCGCCTCGGAGGAGAAACCACCGGGCACAGAGACAGAGAAATTCCAGATGATCTACCGTTTTAAAGCAATCAGAATCTTTGGGTTCTTTTCTCGGCTAAAGGTGACACAGACAGCTCTGACGGTGGTGCTCCTACCGCCATGCTTTTACTGGTACTCCCAGGGCCTCTTGACTCTTAACTCAGTGTGCCTAGCGAGTGGGATTGCTGGCTTCGCCCTGGCCATGCTGGCTTGGATGAGCTACTTCTTCCGGAGGCTGGTGGGTATCCTGTACGTGAACGAGTCCGGCACCATGCTGCGGGTGGCTCACCTGAACTTCTGGGGCTGGCGGCAGGACACATACTGTCCTGTGGCAGATGTGATGCCCCTGACAGATACAAAGGACAAGCCCCAGGATGTGTTGATGTGTATCCAGCAGTACAGCCAGAAGCAGACTTTCTACCTCACTCTACGCTATGGACGCATTGTGGACAAAGAGCGGTTCACTCAGGTTTTTGGGGCAGTGCACACACACAAATGAACAGCTGGGAGCTGCTGGGCTACCTGGTTCTCCGACAGGAAAGCCAAGGCCGTGGGCAAAGGTGAAGCAGGGGAATCTCAGGTGCCCTGGAAACCCATCTGTTGGGAAATTCATGAGACAGAAGGTAAAAACCAATTTTAGGAAGAAGGTGCCTGACATTCAGGCAGAAGTTTCTGAAGAGGCAATTCTTGGACGAAACTGTGCCAGGTTCACTGAGTCTGTCACTGCTTTGAAATTGGAAGGCAGAGGGCGTGGCAAGGAAGCAGAGGAATTGGAGTCAGAGCCTTTGGTTCTGTCAGTTCTCAGCTCCCAGGCTGGGGCAGAATGTGGTGTCTGAACCTTGGTTTTCTCGTCTGTAAAATGCAGAGTCCTGCATGACTTGTGGTATAAGTGTGAAAATAAACAGTACATGTCAGGCTACCATGTGGCTCGATGGTGGAGCACTTGCCCTGCATGTGGAAGACCCTGGGTTCCATCCCCAGCACTGCAAACAGTGACTGCCAGGGGCTTTGTACGGTCAGCAGCCCAGCACTGGTCAGAGATTACAACATGGGCAGGCTTCCAGGCAGGCAGGGGAGATTTCCCTAGCCTGTGCTGTGCCCTGGTGCCCAGCAGCAGAGGGTCTGGGGTGAAGCTGAGGGTGGGCTCCTGCCATTCTGTTGGGGTAGGGGTGTTCACATGAACACGACACTCCAGCTGCAAACCAGGCGATGTCACATTTGAAGGTTTTGCAGTATAATCCAGGCAGAACTCGATGCCGGAGCATCACCAAGTTAGAGATGATTGTGTGCGTTGCTTCTCATACTTAATAATTTTATTGTATAGTTTTTAACATATATAGAAAAAAGTTATGATCTTTATAATTTTTGCCACTGAGCACAATTTTTTGGTTTGTTTGTCTCCTTATGTAGTGCAGGCTGACCTTGAACTCACTTATGTAATCCAGGCTGGTGTTAAGCTCACAGCGATCCTCCTGCCTCAGCCTCTGGAATGCTGGGATTACAGGCGTACACCACCATGGCCAACAGTTTTTTGCCACTTAGAAGTCAGTAACTGTTTTGTTGCATAGCTTTCCAGGCATTGATTATTATTTTTTCTTTTTTTTTTTTTTTAAAGAATTTATTATTATAATAAAATTTATATAACAAAAGTATTCTTTTAACCATTTAAAAATGTACAGTTCAAGTACTTTAAGTACATTTATAGTGTTGTACAACTGTTTCTTTTTCTTTTTTTTTTTTTTGTCTTTTTGAGACAGGGTCTTGCTATGCAGTTCAGGCTGGCCTTGAGCTCAGTTTGTAGTCCAGGCTGGTCTCGAACTCTCAACGATCCTCCTGCCTCAGCCTCCCAAGTGCTGGGGTTACAGGCGTGAGCCACCACACGGGCCAGTACAACTGTTATCACTATTTGTTTCCAAAACTTTTACATCATCTCAAACAGAACTCCCTTTACCTGCCCGTCTCAAAATAAAAAGGGTTGGGATCTGGGATGTAGCTCAATTGTAGAGCACCCTTGGGTTCAGTCCTCAGTATCAAAACAAATAAATAAAACCAATAAACAAGTAAAACCCTGAACTTATTTTGGCTTGTGGTTCAGAAGATTCAGTCCATGAGCACTTGGCCCTTTTGCTTTGGACCTGCGATGAGACATGGTGGGAACATGTGACGAAGGAGCATTGTTTGCCTCACGGTGTCCAGCAAGCAGAGAAGGACAGGAAGGAGCCAGACTCCCCATATCCCCATGAAGGGCATGCTCCCAGTGATCTACATTCCTTCTACGAGGCTGCACGTTGGTACTGGGAGTTGAACTTAGGCCTTCGCACTGAGCTTCACCCCATCCCTTTTTCTGTTTTTTGTTTTGAGATAGGGTCTTGCTAAGTCACTAAGTTGGCCAGGCTGGATTAGAACTTGCAGTCCTCCTGCCTTAGCCTCTTGGAGTGCCAGGGTTACAGACATGTGCCACCACATTTGGCTGGGCCCCACCTGAATGTTCCGCTACCTCCCAGTGGCAGCACAGGCTGGTGAGCGTGCATTTAACACGCGGACCTATGGTGGACACTTCTAAACCATAGCATGGGATTCCTTGTTGAGCATTTCCATAGTGGCTGCTCCAGTTTGTATTCTGACTAGCAATGCACAGGGAGTCAGTTTCTCAACATCTTTCCCGACACTGGTTATTTTCCATGTTTTAATACCAGCCATCCCAAGGGGTGCAAAGTGGTGTCTCATTGTGTGTCAGGCTTTTTCAGGGTACAGGTATTTTACTATGCCTGAGGTTTGTTCTTTCTTTCTCCCTTTCTCTCTCTTTTTTTTTTGTCTTTTTGAGACAGGGTCTCGCTACGCAGTTCAGGCTGGCCTTGAGCTTACTTCGGAGCCCAGGCTGGTCTCGAACTTGCAGCGATCCTCCTGCCTCAGGTGGGATTACAGGCATGCGCCACCATGCCTGGCTTGCTCTTTCTTTCTTGCTTGCTTGCTTTCTTTTTTTGTACCGGGAATTGAACTCAGGACCTTGTGCTTGCCAGGCAGGCACTTGTTCCACTGAGTTATATTCCTGGCCCTCTTTTTTTCCCTTTTCTTTCTTCTTTCTTGTTATAACACTTGAGTCAATGTTCACTAAAAATATTCAGGAATTATAAAATATTCCATTAACTTGATATATAGCTAGTCCTTTCAATCTTTACTGTTTTTCTGTTTTTTCATTGTCATGAAGAATGTGATATCCTTCCTCTGTAGGCTGAAAATGACATTTTGAGAAAAGTGCCTTTGAAATATCCAAGGTAACCCTGAACAAGTTAGAAGCAAATAAAGCATGTAATTCAAGATAATTTTTCCCTCAGGCTTCCAAATTAGTTATTCATTCTGCTGAGACCATGTGAGTATCTGTCTTGTGTCAGGCAGTGTAGTTAATAGGTTTTTGCCCTTGTGGAACTCAGTCACATGTCTTTGGTGCATACATGTGAGTGAGTGTGTGTTGGGGGAAGCTGTTAAGCAGATAAGTGTATGCACTTACAGATGGTGACAAATGCAAGAGTCAGATGGGCTGAGGTGGGTGACGGGTGGGGGTGTGTGGCTGAGGGAAGGGCATGCCAGGCCCTGCAGGAGAGACACTTAAGCTGGGCCCTGACGTGAGCATGAGGCAGCACCAGGCCAACAGCAAGTGAGTGCTTCTGACTGGGCAGTGGTGTGCTTTGTTGTTAAGGGGCGGAGCCTGAATTGTATCCTGCTCACCGTGAGAAGCCTTAGAAAGTCTCAGAAAAGCACGAGAGCAGTGAGAGTTGAGAGATGTTCAGAACCAAGAGGAAACAGCTCCTTTTAGTTTTGTTCTTTTTTTTTTTTCCGGTATCGGGAATCGAACTCAGGACCTTGCGCTTGCCAGGCAGGCGCTGTGCTGCTGAGCTAAATCCCCAGCCCCAGCTCCTTTTAATTTCTATGCACTTTGAATTGACACAATGAAACAATATAGTAAGATTCGTTTTATTTATTCAGTTCCCACTGCATGTTAATTCCTGGCAGCTGGAGGTTTTCTGGGGCGTGTGACCCCCTCAGATGTTTGGAGATCCTGGGTGTCCACAGTACAAGTATGGCTGTGGTTTCCCTAGGCTCAGGGGCTGGGGTACAGGGGCATGTTCTGGCAAAAACAGATTTTGTCGGTGTGCCCCAGAGCCTGGTAGTGGTCCCTCAGGCCTGGAGGGCCTCAAGCCATTCAGAAGTGCCACCTCTTTCTTCAAGGTAAGTGGCATGTGGTTCCATTGACTTACAGTTTTATGATGATGCTACTCTCAAAACATTGGCCAAGCCTGTGAGCAGGCCGAGTTATTTGCAAGGTGCCCCAGGGGATTCTGGTGTGCAGGTTGTCCATCTCCCTTGAAGGATCACTGTACTGGTAAACCTGCAAGGGGCTTGTCCTGGAGGGTGAGAGCAGCTGCTCCCCAGCTTGGCCTTCTATGTGTGATATGCTCATACGGTGCCAGCAGAGGGCACACACAGCGAGAACAGCATTCCGTCCCTTTATCCCTGAGCTCAGATCGGCTCTCCCCGCAGCAGTGGGCAATGGGGAAGGACCTCTCTACCACCCTAGTAGGGCATTACCTGCGCCTGTTCAAAATACCCAGAATCAACCGCAAAAGTTACCTGTGCCCAACCCTTATAGAGTCTGGTGAAATGGGCATCTGTGTTTTTATGCTTCCCAGGTAATTCAAGGCACCTCGGTTTGAGGCTCACCCATAGCCATACCACGGACAGTAAAGCAGTGTCTCTAAACAGTGGAGGCAGTTTTTATATTCTGGTAGTGGATATATTGATGGTTCCTTTAAAAAATAATTTCAAAATAATAATGGTCTTAGCTCCTTTGGGCTGCTGTAAAAATACCATAAACAGACATTTCTCTGAGTTCTGGAGCCTGGAAGTCTACGATGAGGCCGATTCTGTGTGTGGTGGAGGCCCATTTCCTGGCTCACAGGTGCTGTCTCTGTGCTGTCACACAGGTCAAGAGTGAAGGAGTCTCTGGGGTCCCTTTAAAAAGGCACTAACACTGTGCGTGAGGGTCCACCTTCATGACTTAATCACTTCCCAAACTGGGAGGGAGACAAAAGTATTCAGTCTGTAGCAGTAATCTAATAATTATCCAGGCATGCATATGAGGATGATCACTGAAATATTTCCAGTGGCAAAAATAAGCAGGAAATGAAGTTGTAGTTTTTTTGTTTCCTTTTTGAGGCAGGGTCTCGCTGTGCAGTTCAGGCTGGCCTTGAGCTCACTTTGTAGCCCAGGCTGGTCTCAAACTCACAAGGATCCTCCTGCCTCAGCCTCCCGAGTGCCTGGATTATAGGTGTGCACCGCCACATCCAGCAGAAAATGAAGTTTCTATTCGTAAGCCACAGTTAAATAAATGTTGGTAGATCTGCACTGTGAAATAACACACAGCCCTTAAAAACCAGTGAGGTCAGCCTGTAAATGCTGATGTGGAAAAGTGACCATGGGTATTGATAAGGAAAAGCAGATTACAAAAAATGTAGTTCTTATTTGTGCTGTTTTTAAAAATGCACACTTTGCAGACTGTTTACAGGAGAGGGCGGGATGAGTCGGGGGCCTGGATGAAACAGCACGTCTTCCACTTTCAGCTTTGTGCTCTCCTGATAGTGCTTGCAGTTTTCATAATGAGCATGTCATTGTTTTCAAGAGTGAAGAAAAATGCTCTAATAAACGGAATCTCTTCTCCTAGCCCTCTTCCCTCATGCCAGCTTTCTAAGCAGAAACGTTTCCTAACCGTAGGTTTCTGTTCTGGACTTGGAAGCTGGGTAGACAGGACCGAAAGCCAGCGTTTGTGGTGGAAGTGTGTCTGTGCCTTGTGCACTGGCTTTCCTTCCTGTCCGCCCACTGACTTTGTGCCCCTTGCACTTGCTGTAGCCTGTGTCCTTCAGGTGCAGGAGACAGGGTGGCCGGTCTGCCGCTTTCCACGTGGTCATCACCCAAGCCTCGCCGAGGTCTGCTTTTGGCTCGCACACCGTGTGGCACACAGGACACAAAGCCCCATGGGAGCTGTTTTCCTCCCTCCTGTCAGCAGAATGAAACTAATTTTGTCATAGGACCAGGTGTGTCTCACATCCCCAACCCATCATCACACTTGTGTTGGGTAGCAGATGTGTTGGGCAGAACTGCTTGCTGGGAGCAGTCTCGGGTGAAGTGCCCAAACAACTCAGGGTACAGTTCTCCCTTGGTTGCTCTTTTGTGACTTCAGGGTGCAGGAGTTCCCAGTGGAAAGCAACAGGGCCCCTCTGAGTCCCAGGCAAGGTCCAATTTTATGGTCTTGTTTTGATCTTGCAGCATTTTAACTAAAACCCTGCCTGATTAGAGTTAATCAGGCAGGGCAAATCCCATCTGGCTGTATTTGTACCAACCCTAGGGACAAAACATCCATTTACTGATTAACAATGAAAATACTCTGCTGTTAGTTAGTTGTACCTTTGTTGGGAAAGAGCTTTAATATATACATGTAGGAACTTAGCTCTGACAGAAATACAATGCGGTTAGAATTACATGTGAGCTACACTTCACTAGTCACAGAGAAGCAGCATCAAAAGGAACTACCAAGCTGGGTGTGGTGGCGCACGCCTGTAATGCCAGCACTCGGGAAGCTGAGGCAGGAGGATCATGCGAGTTTGAGGCCAGCCTGGGCTACAAAGTGAGCTCAAGGCCAGCCTGAACTGCATAGCAAGACCCTGTCTCAAAAAGACCAAAAAAAAAAAAAAAAAAAAGAACTACCATATATTAAATACTATGTGCCATGCAATCAGTATGACTGTATTTAATTCTGCTGGCAGTCGTCTGAGTCAGAGAACCCCAGGCAAGCAGTAGAATGGAGGAGTGAAGCGCACAGTTTCTGAAGCAAGACCTGCCCACTTGAGTCCCAGTGCTGCTGCTTCCCGGGTGGGACTTGGCTCTGTTCCTTGGTCTCCTCATTTGTGAAGTGAAACCATAACCAAGCCTGCTGTGGGGCGGACTGTGCAGCTGATGGCATGAGGGGCTCTTATTCTGGGGAAGCACTCAGTGTTTGCTGTACTCACTTGCAATTCACAGATGAAGCTTAGGGAGCTGACAGTCACCTGGCTAGCGAGCAGCAGAGCTGGGACAGTCTACTGCCTACCAGGACAGTAAACAGAAAACTGACTTTATAGTGTCTGACCTTGCAGTTCTGGTGACTTCAGTCCAGCCTCTTTAGGAATGTGCATTTCAGAGCACACACTGATGCCAACCAGTTCGTGTTGACTTTCCAAGGTCGGTGGCCAGGCTGGCTGAAAGTTCCTTGAATGTTGGACGGTCCCTACCTTCAAACCATCCTGGGTCAGCTGCATGTGATGTTCACACAAGTTTTGCAACAGGATTTTGTGATGTATTCCAGACTGGCCTTGCACTCACTGTATAGCCTAAGCTGGCCTTGAACTCACTGTGGTCCTCCTGCATTAGCCTTCTGAGTGCTGGGATTATAGGTGTGTACCACCACGCCCAACCAGCCACTTGTATTGTCTAAACCCTGATATGTCTTTTATAGAGTGTGTATCGAACCCTGGCTTACAAGCTGTGTAATTTGGAGCAGGTATTCCTAACTTCTTCCTGCTTCAGTTTCCACACAGAGGTAGTGCAGGCCTATAATCCAATACTCTGGGAGGCTGAGGCAGGAAGGTTGCAAGTTCAAGCCCACACTGGGCAACTTAGTGAGTTAGCAAGGCCCTGACTCCAAACAAAATATAAAAAAGCAATGGACTAAGGATATAGTTTGGTGTGAAGGCCCTGCATTCAATCCCTAGTGACACACACACACACACACACACACACACACACACGACCAGACAGCTGAGGATGTGGCTCAGTGACAAAACTCTTGCCTAGCGTTTGTAAGGCGCTGGTTCCCTCCCTAGGACTTCTCCCCCGCCCCCCCAAAATTAAGATAAAATAAGCATACAAAAATACACATCATGTAGATTTGTTGTGAAAATTGTAAAGCACCAATAAAATATGCTTAATATAATAAATATTCAAAATAATTATTTTTGGCTGGGCATGGTGGTGCATGCCTGTAATCCCAGTATTCGGGAAGCTGAGGCAGGAGGATTTTACCATGACTTCAAGGCCAGCCTGGCCTACATGGTGTGTTCAGGGCCACCCTGAACTACACAGAGTGACCCTGTTTCAAAAAATATATGTTTTCATTATTTACATGTGATTATTTTAATAAACACATTGTGCTGGGTATGGTGGGCACACCTGTAATCCTAGTACTTGGGAGCATAAAGCAGGAGGATTTCAAGTTCAAGGCCAGCCTAGGTTACATAGGGAATTCAAGGCCACTGGACTGCATAGCAAGACCAGGTCTCAAGCACACGTGCACGCATAGAATGCTAAATACTCCCTTCTAAGTTGTTTCTTGGACTTGTTGATCTGAGCTGGAAGGAACCTTAGAAATATGTGTCCGAACTGTACATTTCACAGATGAGAAAAACAAGGACCCAGAGGACTACTGTGACAGCTGGAAACAGAGGCAGGTGCCACTCAGGACTCCAGAAGGGTGGCTGATTTACACAGGTACCCACTAAGTGTCTCTGTCTTCTCGGTATTTCTTCTGCCTCCCGATTTATTCCCATGGGTTGTCAGCTTAGCACCTCTGTGGGCAACAGGGAAAGTGTGATTTGATTGGCTGGGGGTGAGGCCCAAGTGCAGATTTTTATAAAAGCTCTTTAGGGTGGTTGCTAAGTGGCCGGTGTTGAAAATTGCTTTCCCGTGCACTGCACTTCGTGCTTTGCTTTTCTCGCCACCCGTTGTCACTTCGCTTCTCCAGGCCACAGGCCACCATTACTGTAATAGATTCCTGACCACTCTCCCAGCCTCCGTGTTTTACGGTGAACACTCAGTGAGTAGAGCGAACATTCCTGCAATGTTCGAGGATGACTCCCCTGCGGCAGACCTGGGGTGGCTCTGTCACCAGCATGCGGGGCCCTGGCAGACACAAACCGTGCCTCCTTCTCTGACCTGGTCTCCTTGAGACCTAGCAACGCTGACCCCAGGACGTGTGTGTCCTGCCTTCGTGCCTTTGTGTTGCGTGTTCTTACTCCGTCTTCTGCTCCGTCAGCAGCCAGTTCCTGCACAGCCTTGACGGGGCAACTGGACACTCTGAATTGCACCCTGCCCGGCCTTTTGTGTCTGCAGCACCCGTACCTGTCCAATTCTTACACTGCGTGGTTGGGACTGCCCCCCGGCTAGAATGTGAGCTGAGGGTCAGGGCCACGCTGTGTCCATCTTGGCATCTGTGTCACATAGCATATCCTTGATGAACTTGATGAAATGCCTAATTCCTAAGCCCAAGGCCATGTAGACAGGCAGAGTATTCCCCCAAGACATCACTAAGGGGTGGTATGGTAGCACATTCGTGTAATCTCAGCACTCTGGGAGGCTCAGGCAGGAGAATTGAAAGTTCAAGCCCAGCCTTGGCAACTTAGCAACTTAGTGAGACCCTGTCAAACAAAAAAGAAGAGGAAGAGGAAGAAGGAGAAGGAGAAGGAGGAGGAAGAAGAGGGGGAGGGGGAGGGGGAAGAGGAGGAAGAAGAAAAAAGCTAGGGATGTAGCTTAGTGGAAAGGCTCTGGGTTCAGTCCCCAGTACTTAAAGAAAAGAAAAAAAGTGTAATAGGTGATTAATAAATACTCGTCAAACAGTTATTTAACAAAGTAATTTCCAACCCAAAAAGTCCACTTTACTCTGACGTTTCCATTATAAATAATTTTTTAATTTAAGAATGCCGATTAACACAGGAAACATTTAATTCATGGAATTGTGCATATGGTCGTCAGGTACACTGTGACATGTTAATTTCCTTATCATTTATTGGCACTGTCAACAGAATACTGTAAACAAGATCACTTTGTATGCATTAAGTCTGCAATGCTCCCTAGCTATGGTTTTCTACCATGAGCTTATATATATAGATATATAGATAGGTATAGATATATAGACATATTAATGTGCACAACTTTGCATGGTTACTGAGTGTCAGTAAAAATTATAAAAAAACACCCATTTGTAATAAAAGGGAGGATGTGCTAAGACCTGCTAGTATTGGACCTTGTTTTCTGTAAAAGTGACAATACTTGCTAGAGACATTTACTAAACTCTATGGTACTAATGCATGATGGGTTTATGTCCCACAAAAGCTGTTGGCCACAGAAGCTGTTCCTCTTGGGCTCTTCCCTGTCTCCTGGGCTTCCCGTGTTTCTTCCATCATCTTCCAAGTTGCTACAGTCTTGAGCTCTGCCAAAATCCTTACCTTGAAATTCTCCTACCTAAATCTCCAGCTTTCTCAAGAAGATATCTCAGGAACTCATTGTGCCCTGAGTATACAAGAATTTGTTGGCAAATGGCTTAAAAATAAATTTTTTTTTTTTAACAAGAAACAACTTCCCTTCTTTAAGAGTGAATAATATTTCTAGAAATGATTTTCCAGATAAAATGATTTCAGTCCTCTGTTATGGGCCCAAGGGGAGAGAACAAAATATTGGAGCACTCCCTCCACTGTTTCCAGCTGTGCCCTGGCATAAAACCCTTTGGATTCCAAGAACCTCACTGAATGTTGGGCACCCAGTGCTGAAGTTCTCAGAAGCAACATACTTAAGCCAGTAAATGAGTGATGGTCTGCATTTTCCTTGTTTGTTAACTGAAGCCTTGAACCTTGGGATATTGCCTGTGGAATCTGGCTCCCTCGTGAAAGGTATGAGACCATGAACTTAGGTTCCCTTTTGTAGTATTCTCGTGAAAGGTATGAGACCATGAACTTAGGTTCCCTTTTGTAGTATTCTTCCTTGCCTTGCAGAATGAACTCTTGTTCATTCTGCAAAACCCTGCTCAAACATCACTTTCTCCTTGAAAGCTCCTGTGACCCTTAGGTGGATTGGAGTTTTCTCTCAGACTTATCTACTCTATCGTAACTGTACTTGGCACCCTGGTTTAACTATTGGTTTGAGAGTCTGTTGTTCCCAGTGGGACGTTAGTTCCTCCTATTTCCTGATTGGGCAGGTATTTCATGAAAGTTTGATGCGTGAGGGAAGATGGAATATAAATAAACGGAGAGATGAGTGAAGCCTTGCAGAGAGGGAGGGAGGCACGGGTCCTCACATAGTTGGCAGCGCAGATGACCTTGGACATGGTAGAACTCCTTATTAAAAGTGGCAGAGGAGCTGCTGCTTGCAGGAATGTAAAGCAAACCAGAGTGCATGGATCTGTCCACATCTGCTACACAGGTCATTGCTCAACAAAAAGAGGTCAGTGGCTGAGTCTGAGGAGGAGTGGAAGCTAAATCTTTGAGTGATTAGTTATTAAAAGAGCAAAGCCCTGAATCAGGAATCCGACATACCCATTTTCCCAAATAGCCAAGGCACCAGGAGGCAAATGGCTTCCTTCTGGACGGAGAACCAAGCCACACTCACTCCATCTGCCTACTAATAATATCTTACAGCCGTGGGACTAGCAAGTGCTCTGTGCAGGAGCATTTGAGGTCAGGCCAGCTCCAAGAATGTCTCGCCTCCAGCAGCAGAGACACTGGACCCTCTGTCACACTGTCTGCCCGCTAACTTCCAGGCTCAGGCATCTTAAGAAAACTCAGATTTCAGGGGCAAAGACAAGGAAACCACCTTAAACCAACGGGCTACCTTTCCGTGTGTGGAGCTCTGGAGCCTTTAATTCATGGCATTTCCCTCGTGAGGAAATTGAGTCCAGCGATGGCCCCTCTGATGGGACGGCTCTGCTGAGAAGCAGGGCGAAGATAATGGGCAAAAGCTGGAGAGAGCCTCCCAGGGTGGGGACCAAAGTCAGACCCCAAGAGGATCTGGGGACAGGGTGTAGTGGCTCTGCTGCCTCTGACCCTGGGCCTGTGCTTCCGGGGTGACAGGCTTGTGCTTCTGACCCTTTGGCTCAGGTGTGTCCCCTGTGCCGTCAGGCTGCGGGTTCCTCCCACACTGCTGCAGGCTGACGCGAGGTGGAGGAGTGCAGGATGTTGAGGAAGAACCATAGCTGGTGCCACCCAGCCTCCTCCACGGGCAGAGGCCCTCAAGGACAGAATTCACAGTTCAGAGAAGCCCCACTTGGACTGCGGGGTGGTCTTCCTGATCAGGAGGCCAGATGCCCGCTCCCTTGCCCCAAGCTCTGACCTCATGTCCCCACATCACTGCCTTCCTATGAGCCATTTAATCATGCGCTCAAGCCGAAATGGGGGACTCGGAGCTTGGGGGCTGAGCGAGAAGGTGAGAGTGAAATTGCTTCTGTAGGGTGAGGGGACACCAGCATCTCTGATTACCAAATAGGGCACCTGGGATGAACTGGAGCCCAAGAGTAGTGGCCCCCAGTCCCGGGAGCATGTGTAACTCCCCTGACAGGCTTCCAAAGAGATTGTTGGGGTTGGTCATGGGTGGGCAGAAATATGTCCAAGACTCCCAGGGCCCTCCCCAAGACTAGTCCAGGGCTCAGACAGAATTTCTGGGCTCCAACCAATGTGCACCATTGGCTCTATAGGCAGGACACTCAAAAGCAGCCCTTCCTTCCCTTGCCCTCCCCCCACAGCCGCCAAAAGCATCCCCTTCCCACAAGTAACTCTCCAGTTTATGCGTTCACTTCTGATACTTTTAAGTGAAAACATGAATTAGGCAAACTAATCAATTTGACAACTGTTGAGACTGGGGCTTTCTCAGAGTGCGGTGGAAATGGTTTCTTTACTTGAAGTCTGCTAAGATGTCACTGAAGATATTGAGGAACAGGTGAGCATGGTGATCCCTGAAGACCAGCGTGGGACGGAAACGGATGGATTTGTCTCCACAGCCTCCCAGCACCACACCTAGGGGAAAAGGCAGGAGGTGTAGGTGTGATCAAAACACAGTGAAAATTTAAATTTTAATGTGTTGATTACAATAAAAGACACATTGGCATTAATATACCCCAAAGTACGCCCCCTCACTTTGAACACACTTATCATCCTTGCCACCTGCTGAAGAAGTTCTGGAAGTCTTCTGTGAATGTCCTTGGTTGTGCTGTCCTGGTTGCCTTGATGTCCTAAATCAGTTAGAAACATTGACCTTTCATGGTCATTTTGACTTTGGAGAAGAGGCAGAAGTTGCACAGTACCAGATCCGGTAAATGAGGTGGATAAGGATAAGGATACATCATAATGTTTTTATGTGACAAATTTCTATAAGCATGAATTGATTCGGAACATCAGTGCAGCCATGAAAAGACATTCAGGAAAGAGAACTTCCAGACCTGCTTCAGAAGGTGGCCAGAAAGATGGGAGAAGTGTGTTCCAAGCTAGGGGGATGATTCTGAGGGGGATTAGTAGTAGTATGTCTTTTACTGTAATAAATTTAAAAAATGCAAACACTCACCGTATTTTGTGATCACACAGTGTAAGTTAGGCGTTTGGTTCTCAGGGCTGGCAGGGAAGTGGCACACACTGGCCACCGTCCTCCACTCGCCATCTTTCCGCCAAGCTCCCAGCTGACCTCCCACCCACACTTCCATCCTTCATTCTTTTTCTCTCTCCCTCATCCATCTCAACATCCTTCCCTTTTCCTCCCTCCCTCCCGACTTTGCATGCTTGCTCTTCTTCTCCTGCAATAGGGTGGATGATAGAGAAATTCTGAGGGGAAAGTTAGCAACAAGCAGATTACAAAAATACAAACTCTGGCTAAGTAGGAGGTAGTAGGAGGTGATGCAGATCTGTCACTCAGAGGGATAAACCGCAGGATTTTTTTTTTTTTTTATCTTGAGACAAGGTCTTACTGAGTCACTGAGTTGCCCAAGATGGGCTCCTCTTGCCTTAGTTTCCCAGTATGCCTGGCATGTGTGCCACTATGCCTGGCTGATCCTACTTATTTTAAAGGCAGACCTTACGCTCTGTATCTTGGCATGTTTGTCGGGGTAGTTTAGCATCTTTGGGACTAAGATTCTCTCTCTTTCATTCTTTTTCCTTTGGAAGATGGACCCAGGGCCTTGCCTATGTTAGGCAAGAGTTGTGCCACTGGGTTGCACCGTGGCATTACTCTTTCTCATTTTAAAGGAGAGGCTAGGGCTGGCAATATAGCTCAGTGGCACAAGCGTCTGCCTGGCAAGTGCAAGGTTCTGAGTTCAATTCCCGGTACCAAAGAAATTTTTTTTAAAGGAAAGGCTACTTATCCCTGCCCTCCAGGGATGCTGCAGGGACTGTAAAGAGGAAAAGATCTGACCTTGTGCCCAATACACAGCAGGAACTCTGATCTCACAACATTCCCCACTTACAACTCTTCAAGGGCCTCCTATAGCTCTTAGGGTGAAGTCCAGAGTCTTGAACTGGTGTGAAGTGGGCCTGGCATCCCTTCCTTGGCCTCACCCCTCTCATTCGTGTCTGCTTCCATCTTTTCCATTCCTCTGGTTCTCCACCTTGGTTACCTCCATCTTGCCTCAGGTGACTGTTGTGCCCTTCCTTCTATCTTAGAATGCTTTTCTCACTTTCACTGGTTGCTCCCCCAGCACCTGTCAAGCCTTCAGGACAAACGCCACTTCCTCGTGGAGTCCTCCCCAGGTCTCCACATTTCCCGCTGTTCAGCTCTCCCCGCCTTTCCTGTTTCCTAGGGCTCTTGAGTGCAGTGGGTGGCTGGGGAAAAGCTTATTCCTTGTCCCCTTCCTGCTGGCCTGCACTCCCTGAAGGAAGGAGCCTGAAGGTCTTCACTGTGAGAACCTCACTGTCAGCACAGCTCACCCTCTTGGTGGACGCCGGCAGTGCGATTGAGTGGATACAGAAATCCCCCCAGGGGCTGGGCTGTAGCTCACTGGCAGAGCACTTGCCTAGGACATGCCAGGCCCTGGCTTCCATCCCAGCACCACACACACACACACACACACACACACACACACACACGGAACCCCACAGTAACTTTTCAAGAAAGAACAGACCATGGCTGTGTGTATCCCATGTATCCCATGGTTCCCCCAGTACCTAGCAATATTTTCCACCCACACCAAGTAATGCTGGACATTGATGACGCTTAGCTGGACACTCCCAGGTCCCCTTACCTTTGTTTCTGGCAATTAAAATGAGTTTATTCCGTATAGAATCATCTGGAGTGTCAAAGGAGCAAAAGGTGCCTCGTCCTCTTACCCTGCTGATGAACTGAGGGTACCGGGCCTACAGTGGGAGACACAAGGCTGGCGTCAAAGCCTGTTACCCTGGCTCAGCTGGGCTTAGTGGCTGTCCTTCCTCAGATGACCCTGTGGGGCTCTACCTGAACCGGCAGGAGCACAGTTGGGTTAAGAGCCCTGGAGAAACCCAGGGCTGTCTCTCACTGTCTAACCTTGGACAAGTCACTTACATGATGCATCCCTCGGCTTCCCCTTCTGTAAAATGAGCTGTCATGAGAGTTTGGTGGAACAAGATTTCTGTGCCAAGGCTAAGCCCAGGGCGTGGCTCTTGCAGGTGCTCCATAGACATTAGCCATCTCTGTTAGTGGTCCTTTTAGGAAGGAGGTTGTTCTTCTGGAGGAAAAAGCTTAACTTCACCCAAGGATGGTGACTGGGAGATAGATCAGGTTGACTAGTGCTCTGCTACCCCAGCTCATTGGTTCAGCTGGAACCTGTGCGTGTGGACTAATTTGGAAATAGGAATTTTTCAGATCCAACTAGCTGGGTAGGGATGAGGTCTTAGTGGGTGAATCTGGGCCCAGATCCAATGACTGGTATTATTAGATAGAAATTTGGACATAGAAACAACACACACCGAGGGAAGAAGGACAAGTGATGGTAGAGGCAGAGCCTGGATTGATGCTGTCACAAGCCAAGGAATGTCCGGCATTACCAGCAGCCACCAGAAGCTGGGAGAGATACACAGAACAGGTTTTCCTTGGAGCCTCCAGGAAAAAGAAACCTTGCTGACACCTTGATTTAGGCCTTTGGCTTCCATGACTATACAGGAGGGTATGTGCACTTCAACTTCTTGCTGTAAGCCACACCGTGGCTGTTACAGCGGCCCTAGGAGACTCATCAAGGCCTTGGGCCAGAAGATGATGATTTCTCTTCATCCTCCACTGTCCATGTAAAGAACAGCAGACCAGAGCCTGAATTACCCAAAACCATCTCAGGGTTCTGGGTGCAGAGTCAGGGAGCAAGCCTTGTTTCGTGACAGTGCCTTGACAGAAAACAGAGACAAAGTTGTGCTGTGGTGGTGGTAGAGCCCGGCATCTGGCTGTGATTAGGATTTGCTGTCAGTCCCAAATCCTCACCCCACAGGTGAGGAAGGGCCCATTTTAGTTTCCACAGTGGGAGAACTAAGGCTCCAGCATTTGCCGATTGCCTGGGAGCTGGTGATTTGAACACCCCAACACACACATGCATCAGAGCGTGGTCTCTGGATAGGCAGGGAATATGGTGCCCTCCTGTCTGTCTGTCTGTCTCTCCAGCACAGGCATACATAGCAGGGCTTAGCGACTGTAGACTTAGTGGGGCAGTAGGAGCCCTCCCTTCCCAGGCCCATGTTGCTGCCCCCAGGCCGTGCTCTGGTGGCTGGGGTTCCCACACACACCTTTTGCCTCACCTATTTTCACCCTACTATTTCAGGGCGTTCCTGGAATCCCAGCTTCTTTTTGCCTGTGGCTTTCTAAGAGGACTTGATAGGGAGCCAGAAGCCCTGGCACCCCTGTAAAACAGCCCTCAAGAGCAAGATGCCAGGGGAGCTTCCACAGAACTCCCCCCACCTTTTTTTGTGGCACCATCCTGCATCTACAGCTCACTTCTGGAAATGCTGGCCACTTCCCGAGCCAGGCTGCCTTGCTCAGGGACTTTCCTTTCTCCTCCAGGCAGCCATGTGGGCCTCGCTCCTCCTGGGGCAGCCCGGCCTGAGTCACAGGGCCGGAAGCCGATGCTGCTTCTCATCTCCGAGTGACACTCTTATCCTGCAATCTGACTGTGACTCTCCACTGGCTTCTGTCCCCCTGGCTTCTCTGGGGCCATCTCAGACTGCTCTGCTCTTCTGTTTTCCTTGCACTAGTGCTTTTCCTTTGTGTTCCCATCCCTGGCCTTTGCCCGGCTATCCATTTGTGTCTGAGAGCCTGCAAGGCCTCCATGCCGATGACCCTGGGTCTGGGTGGACCTGGCGGGAAGAGTATCAGCTCAGAACTAGGAACGGTCCTAGGGCATCACCGTCACTGCTCGAATCCTGCCACTGGCCCAGGCATCTTCCAGGGAAGTAAGTACCACCTGTCCCTTTAGTCCAGGCCCCTGGACAGTGATGGAGCACCCCTGAACGAAGGAAGGGGAAGCCCCGTACAGAGCTTTCCCTCATGATTCCCCACCCTACCAACCTCAGTTTAAATTCAGATCCAGTCCAAGAGAAGCCTGTTTCTGGATTCCACTCAGAGCAGTTCCACTTGGAGGGGCCCGGCTCTGGCAACAGCTACACCAGGGCTTTGGATTCAGGCAGACCCAGGGTTAGCACTTGGCTGCCTTGCCGCTTCCTGGGCTTGGGCAAAGGATTCACCCCCTCAGCCTCCGTTGTTTTGTTTGCTTGTTTTCATCCAGAAAATGAGGCTCATATTTCCCTAATTTCATTCTTTTTAGTTTTTTGCTATTAGAGATTGCACCCAGGGCCTTCACACTGAGCTATATTACCAGCCCTTTTTATTTTGAGACAGGGTCTCACCAAGTCACTAAGTTGCCCTGGCTAGGCTCGAACTTGCAGTCCTCCTGCCTCAGCCTGCCAGAGTGCTGAGGTGCAAGTGTGTGCTGTCACACCCGGGCTGCTTTCCTAATTTCAAACTGTTCTGATTTAGGTCTGCCAGGTAAAAATAGAGGATGTCTAGTTAAATTTGAAGTCCAGATAAACAACAGATCACTTTTAAAAATATGTCTTTCATGTTGCCTGGAATATACTTACATTTTAAAAAATCAGTTGCTGTTTCTCAAATTTAATTGAGCACTCTCGGTTGTAATTTGCTAAATCTGACAACCCTGTTGGTGGTTCAATGACACTCTTGACTCTCCCTGTATCTGGAACCAACCTTGTGCCTGTCCCCTTGTGCCTGTCCCCCTGTCCCCTTCGAAATTTAAATTTAACTGTGGCCCTTGCCTCTTTTCCCTAATTGTACTAACTCTACAAGGATTAAAAGAGAGAAAGCATTTAATCCAGTGTTTGACATATAGCAAGTTCTCAAACAACTTCAATTAATGGAAATTATTATTACTGTTATTATCATCATTATCATCATCATTAGATCCTTGATCATGCCAGAGAGGTAAACCCTGGCAAAGAACACAGACTTTAAAGTCCACCAGATCCAGGTTTAAACTTATGCAGTTTTGCACAAACTGGCTGACTTTGGACATGCTTCCATGCCTCAGTTTCCTTACTTGCAAAATAAGGGTAACGATAGTGGTCAGACCTACAGCCTTACTGTTGGACTTAAACAGAAAAGTTTATGAAGGTTTCTGGATAGAAGTTGGCCCTCAGTAAATGAAAGCTGTTACATTATTATCCGTCTTCCCTTCTCTGTCACCGTCCTCATACCATCCTGGCCACCACAGTCATCTCTGGCATCACCATCATCATCACCCCTCAGTGGGGTTGTGCTCATGTCATTGCTAACAGCATGTTTCAAAAGCCTAGAGGACAGGTACTTTAAGACCAGCCACCCAGAGCAAGTCATCTCTCCCCTAAAACTGCTGGGCTTTGCTGCCCAGTCCTAGAAATGCTGGGCCCCACCCACTCCCCCAGCAAACCACCTATCTCCCCCAGCTTAGGAGAGCAGTGTCTGTGTGTTGGACCAAAAGCTCCAATACAGACCTGCAGCATCCAATGTGATAGCCATGTGTGGCTGCTGAAATGTGGTAAGTCAAAATCAAGGAGTGCTGTGTGTGTAAAATACACCCCCCCCCGAAAGTCTCATATGTTCAGTGGTGGGGCTTTGGGAAGGTGACTGAATCCTGAGCATGCCATACTCATCAGTGGATCTGCGTGTGGTTAGGAGGTGGGACCAGGTTGGAAGAGATGGGTCACCAGGAAGTGTGCCTTTGGAGAGTGTATCTCCCTCCCTGCTGCCTCCCTGCTTTCTCTCTCTGCATCCTGGCTGCCGTGAGGTGAGCAGCTTTGCTCCACCACATCCTCCCACTATGTTTCTGCTTTGGAACCAGTGACCATGGATTGATTCCTCATGAACTGGGAACCAAATTAAATTTCTCTTTCTATGTGTGTTATGGTTTGTGTCTGGATGCCCCCCAGAGCCTCATGCAGTCATGGGGTGGGCTTCTACGGGTTATGATCGATTCATGGTCCAATGCTGGGATTACAGGTGTGAGTGCTACACCCACTCTAGGGTGGGTAGCCTGTATACAATATAAGGGAGGGAAAGAGGCTTGCTCTTTCTGCTTCCCCCTTTTGCTCTTGTTGCTTTTGCTGTTTTCCTCTGCCATGAACTGTTGCCCTCTGCCTTGTGCCACTCTGCCTTGTGCCACTCTGCCTTGGAGCCAGCTGCGTATGGACTGAAGCCTCCATAAAGTGTGAGCAAAATAAATCTTTACTTCCTTAATTTTAGGTGTTGGATATTTTGTCCCAGCAACAAGAGAAAAGTAACCAAGACATTGTGGTTGTCAGGTATTGTGTGTCAGAGAGAGAAAGGTGGCTAATACACTGAACTTCAAAAGTTTGGTGTAACAAATGAATACAAAATACATCACTTATTTTCTGTATCGATGACCTATTGAAATAATATTTTGGACAAAATGAGTTAAGTAAAATACATTATTAAAACTAATCTTATCTCATTGTATTGGCTTTTTGGTCTGGCTACTAGAACATTCACAATCTGTGGGCTGCAGGAAACCCCACTAGACAGGGTACCTGTGGGGGCTGTGGAGAAGGCAGCACAGGGGAGAGATGTGCAGATCTGGGCTGGGGCAGGGGCACAGGGAGTCTTTGGGAGGTTTCTCCAAGGAGGGCTGTCTGAACGTGGTGTCAAAGACAAGTTTAAATATCACATGGTTTCTCTTACATGAGAAACCCAAATATAAATAAAGAGCAAAATGAAGTGTACTAGGAAACAGGGAGACAGATCTTTTGCAAATGGGAAGGGGATGAAGAGACGGAAGGAGGGAGGGGAAGGAAAAGGAATTAAGATGTGTTGTGTACATGTACCAACTCCTCATGAGGGATGTGATATATCCTGCAAAAGTGTACTAACAAAAATTAAAATGTTTTTAAAAAGCCAGGAGTGGGGAACTGGGCCCTGGGCGGGGAGGGAGGAATGGAAGGCATTGCCTACAGAGGGCACAGGCTGTGCCTGGAACCCGGGGGCAGCACAGCCTGTTCAGAACTGCCAGAACAGCGGGTGCAGAGCCATGGTGAAGTGAGTGGGTGCTGCCATGGGGGAGCCCTGAGGGGTTGTGGGGTGCTCCTGGGGCCAGAGTGGGAGGCAGGAGGGCGATACCTGGAGGTCCAGCAATCCTGTGAGTAGGACCTTCCCGGCATGGACTGCATTGTTTAGCAGGTCCTCACGTTTGATGATATTGATGACCTCGGCCAGCAGCAGGTTCTTGGACGGGTCTCCCAGCCAGGTGTTGAAGATCCGGTAAGGCTGGAACAGGCAGACAGTAGATAGGCTCAGATGGCGCACACCCTGAGGTGCACCGCTCTTCCCCTCTCTTGGAAATCAGAGAAACTAACCAGGGATCATCTGCTGAGGGTTAGAAGCACAACATACATTATCTCACTGATTTCTTCCAAGACAACCCGGTGAGTAAGTGGTACTGTGGGAAAGCAGATCACCACGGGGCTCTGCGAAATCATGGCAATTGGTCCCCGACAGACAGTCACGTGTGGTGTAATGACAGGGCTGTGTTCTCAGAGATGCATTGCTAGGTGATCTGTCAACCTGCAAACATCAGAGTGTGTGCACACACAGACTAAGATGGTTAAGACCTCACCAGGCGATATCATCTCATGGAACCACCACGATCTATGCAGTCCACTGTTAACGGCAGCCTCACTCTGCAGCACAGAGCTGTCCTGTGATACTCATCAAACAGAGCAGGAAGCTGAGGCTTGGAAAGGCTAAAGCACTGCCCACGGCAAACATGGCTCCTTGGTGAGGGAGTTGGACTTGGATTGCTGGGAGTTTGACTCTCAAATGAATTATGTACCCACCCATGAGTTATTCAGGGTGGTAACATGGCCAACTACAGCACATGTCTCAAGCTCCACTATAGGGAGACCTGACCATGTGACTAGGAATAGGTCAAATGTTAGAAAAGAGCATTTGTGGGATTTCTGGGGAGGCTGTTAAAGGCAAGGTTCACCTTGTCTTTCCCATTTTTTCCCTCCTACTGCCTAGAAATGAGTTGTAATGGCAGCCATTCCAGTGGCCATTCTGGGCCATGAGGCAACCCTGAAGGTAGAAACTACAAGGGGTGATCAATATATATGTTTAATGTTTAAATTTTAAAAATGTATTACAGTGAACACACACTGCCATTATTCCCTCCAAAGTATTCCCCCTCACATCCACCACATGTATGCCATTGTTACTGCTGCTTCCTGAAGCAGTTCTGGAAGTCTTCTGTGAGTGTCTTTACAAGGTATAATAAAAAATACAGTGAATGCCACAGCCAGGTGCCATGCAACACAGATGCAGGTTGTAAAAATATTACAGTGCATCTTCATCCACATTTTTCACTGGGCCTAGCACCATATGACTTCTGGCTCTTTCCAAAGTGAAAATGATCATGAAGGGAGAAGATTTTGAAGTAATTCGGGAGACTGAGACAACCACAATATCACCACTAAAGAGACTCACAAAAGAGGACTTCCAGAACTGCTTCAGAAATGGCAAGAATGATGGGACGAGAGTGTTCAAAGTGAGAGGGAATTTTTTTAAAAGAGAAAAAAAATGATACAGAATTTCAAAAAAGAAGACAAGAAATTAACAATGATTGTTATATTGCATATTGTTATCTTCAGAGTAGTTGTTCAGATTACCAGATATAGGCATGCTAAATTGATCAAACAATATAAGCAATAACCATTCTTTTAAATGAACTAATGGAAATTAGCAGTACGATTGTCCTAGTCATCTTGTGTATAATATGTATATATATGTATATATATATATGTATGAATATAAATAATTTTTCCCTTCCTTTCCCCCATCCCTGTAACTGACAAAGCCTGTAACTGATAATCCCAAGTTGTGTGGCCTTGAACAACTTGCTTAACTACTCTGTGACTAATTTTCCATTAGTGAAATGGAAAAAAAATAACACCTACTTGGTTAGACTGCTGTGAAGGTTAAAAGATCATGACAAGTACATGGCACAGAGCAAGTGTTCCATCTGCAGGAGCAACTGTTAACATTATTACACACAGACAATGCACTTGTGGGAAGACTGACTGTGGGTAGCTGTGAAGATGGGTGTGGAGAGCTGTGATCATAAGCATTAATTAAACTGTAAGGACTGGGCTGTGTTAGGTGGCTTCTGGTTCTCCTTGTTGGGCAATGGTGGGGGTAAGAAAGGGACACTCCCCGACTGCATCCCACTCACAGTGTTGGGCCGGAACTCCTCCTTGTGGAAGAAGCCTCCAGTCATCATCTTCTTGCTGAAGGTCATCACATCAGCTGGGTCGTCCAAGCCCCAGTGCTCGTGGGCCCAGAACTTGCCCGTGCAACCCCCACCTGTCTGCACCTCATCCACCAGGAAGGCGCAGCCGTGCTGGCGGAGAAGAGATGGAAGAGGGAGAGGTAAACACTGTCAGGGGCTGCTGACCCATGGCCCCACCAAAACCAATACCAAGTCCAGCCTCATCATCCCTGTCTCGAAGCTGTGTTCTTGGACTATGTAAAAAAAAAAAAAATAAAAAGGCACTGAAAGTAGAGCAGTTCCCACCAGAGCTGCACTGAATGTGTCCTAAAAGTGCTGAGCTGGAGCAGAATCACACACCTAAAACTCTCAGCACCAAAGCACAGCTTGGCTGCCCTGGGCTCCAGCCACCTGGCTTAACCTCATCAGAAGGCAGTGAGCCCAACAGTGAAGAGGATCCTTCATCGCCTTAACTTTAGCTGCCATGTTCTGTGTCTTGCTGGGGTATTAGTAACTCACATCCTGCAATCGCTATTTGTGAACGTGCTGGTTAATAAGCTGGTTCAATATATGTCCAGCCCATATAAAGAGGAAGGCTGAGGCCTTCCCAGGAAACTCCTAACTGAGAAAGTTCCAAATTAAGATAGGCAGGTTGGAAGAGGGTTTGCAAGAAGTTTTGTTTTGTTTGCAGTACTGCACATTAAACCAGGGCCTTTGCACTGAGCTATATCCCCACCTCTTCTGTTTGTTCATTTGTTTGCTTGCTTATTTTGAGACAGAGTCTTACTAAGTCACTCAGTTGCCTATATTATGCTGGAACTTGCAATCCTCCTGCCTCAGCCTCCCAGAGTGCTGGGATTATAGGTGTGCATCACCACACCCAGCTGCAACAAGAGTTTAAAAATGAATCACAGATATCATCCCCATCCCAGGTCCTCTATTTGTGGTGCCCATATCCTCTGTACATCCAGATGTTTGCATGAACCCAAAAGCAGAAGCAGGGCTAATGGTTTGCTCTGGAAAACCAACCCAGAAAGTCCTATGCCCCGTGCAGCCTTGCCCCATCCGCTAACCTTCCTGGCAATGTCTCTCAGCTTCCGGAAGAAGTCATCTGATGCATGGTTGTCTCCGCCCTCAGACTGGATGGGCTCCACGATGATCCCAGCCACAGTCTTCTTCTTCTTCCGGTATTTTACAATCAGATCCTCCACCTGGATCCCAAAGGGGACATGGCAATGGCTCACACAGGCCCTGAGTTGGTAGCAGTTCCTATGATTAGTGTGGTGCATAGGAGCCCACATGTGTCCTCCTTGAGACTGGTGCTAGCAGGAGGCTAGTCACTCTGCCCCCCTCCCCCCCCAGCCTCACTCTCCTGATCAGTGGGGTGGGGATGCTGAAAGGTGCAGGAGTAGAGACTACCTTTTGCTACTGTACTGTCATCGCTGCTATTGGTCTTCTGTTAGCATGAGAGTCCTTTGGGAAGAACCCAAGGGAAATATTTAAAAAATTTTTTTGTCTAGTGTTTTTTGAGACAGGGTCTCACTATGCAGTTCAGGCTGACCTTGAGTTCACTCTGTAGCCCAGGCTGGTCTCTAACTCACAATGATTCTCCTGCCGCAGCCTCCCTAGTGCTGGGATTACGGGCGTGCGCCACCACGCCCGGCCTGAGGGAAATATTTTAGAAACTGCTGTAAAGCTTGTATGCAGTGAGACTAATCCCATCTGTGGCAGTGTGGAGTGGGGCGAGGAGAGGGGGCAGGTGGATCCCTCAGACTGACTCAAAGCTCATTAGAGGCCCCTGCTTGGGTGATGGCATAGTTTATCAAAATCTATGGACTAAAGTAAGTCCCCGACGTACGAATGAGTTCTGTTCTGGGAGAATTATAAGTTGGATTAGTTCATAAGTAGACAAAGTGAGTCTTACACAATACACCTGTGAAAGTTCACTACTTGAATGTTTGTGAGGGATTTACTATAGACTCTTAGTGGGGTGCATTCCATGGTATGCAAATGACATTATGAAGTTGACCTAAAAAAAGTAACTGGAATTGTGAGGGGATATAAGAAAGCACCACATTTAAAGTGTGTGTGTGTTTTTAAGTGGTGGTATTTCTTAATCTTGTTCTGAGATGGGTAGGTAATAATTATGACACTCTGTTGATCACGTAATAAATAAATTTAAGAAGCCCTAAACCACGCAGTTAGATAGACCAACAGTGGGAATCTTTGCTGTGCAGAACATGTTTGGATATGTGATCTGGGCCTTGGTCTCCACCAGTTACCCACGGGAGCGCGAGGCGCTTTTCCTTGCTTTGCCATTCCACTTACAAATCACCTGGTTTGTCACTACCTGGTTATTTCTGTATCTTTCCTACTACCCCGCACTCTCTGCCTCGGGGGCTGTGAGCCACATACGGCTACGGGGCAGTTGGCGTGTGGGTGGTCCAGCGTGTGCTCTAGTGTATACTATACACAATATAGTTTTCAAACACTTCATATTAAAAATAAAATATCTCATTAATAATTTTAAATATTAATTACATGTGGATATAATATTTGTGATATATTAGGTTCAATAAAATGTAGTTAAATTAATTGTACTTTTTTTGGCAGTACTGTGGATGAACCCAGGGTTTTCACACTGAGCTATAGCCATAGCCCTCTTTTATTTTTTGAGAGAGGGTCTTGCTAAGTCATCAAGTTGTCCAGGCTGGGCTTGAACTTGTGATTTCCCTGCCTCAGCCTCCCAGGGTGCTGGGATTACAGGTGCGTGTTACCATGTTTTGCTATGCATACTTTTTCAATAAATCCATTTCCCTTTATTTTGGAGTCACTGGAGGTTGGCCTCAAAGACATGTGAACTGTAGAGGAATTGGTGCCAGACGTGGAGGATGAATGTGAAGTGGTAAAACGATGTGTCACTAGCTCTTGCAGTGTGGAGCACTCGAGGCTCAGGCCTCTCTATCCCTGCCTCCCCCCAGATACTGGCTTCATCTGCCCTCCTCTAGGCTCAGGCTCTGGCTGGCAAGGGCAGGAGCAGGAAGGGAAGTGGGGAGGCCAGTTACCTCCTCCAGGCAGCGGGCCTCCTCCTGCTGGTTGTCCTTCTCAAACTCCTCCAGAGGGTACTTCAGCCGCGGGAATGGTGCGATGGGCCAGTCGAAGGAAGGGATGTCAATCTTGTGAATTGCTTTGGAGTGCGTGGTCGCTAAGCAACCTGAGTCCGGTAAGAGAAAAGCAGACGCTTGGCATGGGGCGGTGGCACAGGCAGTCTTTGAAGAGGATATGCTGGGCATTTTAGCCACAGGTAGGCAATGCACAGGGGGGCCTGTTGCTTGCAGGTTCCCAGCTCTTGCATCATCCTGAAGCTGAAGCACAACCTGTGAACTGTTGTACGTGTGAATGTGTGTAGGGGTGTGTGTGTGTGTGTGTGTGTGTGTGTGTGTGTTTTGTGATTTGTCACAGGTCTGGATCTGTCACTGAAAGGCCTTGGGAAGTTCTTTCCCCTGCTGACCCTCAGCCTCCACATCTGGCGAGTGAGGACAGTAGTCCCCCATGCCTTGTGTGGCATCTGTGGGACAATATATGTAAAGCACCAATGCCAGGCCCAGGGCAGGCGTGGCTATTGTTACTGTTGTTATTACTCTGCATGCCACTGGGAGCATGGTGCTCTTGCCTTACCCATGGTCCTTCCGTGGAAAGCGCCCATAAAGGAGAGGATGCTGTAGTCAGGGCATCCGGGGGCCTAGAACCAAGAAACATGAGCATCAGTCACCACTGAGAGGGCTGGGGACAGTATGCCCCCCTGTAAACCTGGGGGCAGACAGAGGAAGTCTGTGAGAAGAACTAAGTCTTTTTTGGGCACAAGTAGCAGTCTGAACTCCTGATGTCTATACCTGGACCACAGGTATTTTGTTTTGGTCACACACTTAAATTTTAAAAATTGTCAAATTTAAAACCAAGGCATTGCATATAAATATGAGAGCTGCTGGCTTCCCACAGATACTGTGCCATGTGGGCATGTTTCTCCTGTGGCAGCAGCAGGTAGCCTGGCGATCACATGCAGGGTGACCCTCCTCCCGGCTGGGCCCGCATGTTCAGCTCCTGCTCTGCAGCCTCGCCCGGAGCTCACACTTAAGGCGCAGGGTGACTCTGGTGTCCATAGCTCACAGGTGGTCCCATCCTCACAGGTGTGCACCCCCCTCCCTGGTGTCCTGAGTAGGGGACTCAGTGGGCACCTTACAGGAAATGCTTGAGGCCTTTGTGAGAGGTCTGCTGAACCTGGTAGCAGAGGAGGGGAGGACACACCTTTCCATCTCCCTTGGTTCAGGAGGGGCATGAGCCCAGCACACAGGCCCCTAACCCCTTCCCAGTCCAACCAAATGGCACAGCTGGCGCTCCTTGCACTGCTTCCTGACCTCTGCCCAGCAAGGTAACCCAAAAGTGATTTCAGATCACTCAGGAGGAATGGCTGGGGAAACCTCAGAGGCCTGCTCAGGCCAGGCTCTGGGAGGCTGATGGTCTGGGAGGTGACAGGACAGTTTTAAGGTTGACTTATTTCCACCAGATTCCTGAGGCCCCTGGGGAAACCTTCAAGACCTCAAGATTTCTTCCCACGAGTTCCAGAACATCCTCTTGTCCCTTTGCCACGCCCC